TTTTAATTTTGCTTACCCCTAAATGACCTAGTTTTCTATGCCATTCTTGAACTTCACTGAGTACAAACCACTTCCTACTTTCCTTCTAGTATTTTTATGTCATTTTTCATTATAATCACGTTTTCTTTAGTAAATATCACTTCTCCATTGTTTTCTGTAATTGCATTCACTGACAGTAAGTTTTTAGTTAATTCTGGTACAAACAGTACCTTATTTAGTATGCAGGAACTTCGATACTGCCTATCTCTAAAATAACAATACTGTTCCTGATGGTTATTTTTCTTGCAAATGCTGCATTGTTTATTTGTGCCTCAATTTGTTCCTCTTGAACCACATGTATTAGCTTTATGACCAACATTTCCACAGTTGAAAGATTTTATTTCTTCTTTAATTTTTCGACAAAACCTTGTATCATGAGTTTTACTTTTACTTTTACATTTTTGACAAAATCTTCCTGTGGATTTAAAAGCTATATCACTTTCTGTTTCCTTATTTCTGCCTTCTTCTGCCAATAATCTTGCTGTTAATTTCACTAGAGTTTTATCAGTATCTGGAGTTGACTCCCATGCTGCTCTGAAGAAACCATAACTCGCACCTCATGATATTATTTCAGAAATAACCATGTTGTCATCAATATTTTGATTTAAAGTATTTAGTCCAAGGGGTAAACCACCATACCAGAATTTGTGCAAAAAATTTCTCAAAGGGGAATTTTTTACGCATAATTCCTCAAAATTCCTGTAAATTCCTCCAAATTCCCCACAAATTCCTCCAGATACCCCATCACAAAAGGTGAGAAGCTCATTTTCCCAAAATTTCAAATTTTTCCAGTGGAAAACAGTAACATGAAAAATCTTTGAAATCAACCTACAAAAACTGAAATAATTGAAAATACAGTCTCACACATTTCGAAGTTTTCCTGGACAACTGTGAAGGAAAGATTTTGAAATTTTTTGCATGTAAAGTGGAAGGTGTGAAGATCATTTTCCCAAAATTTAAAATTTTTCTAGTGGAAAATAACATCATGAGAAATATTGGAAATCAACCTATAATAACTAAATTATTTGAAAATACAGTCTCACACATTTCAAAGTATTCGTGGAAAACTAGAAAAGGGAAAATTTTGAAACTTTTTGCATTTAAAGAAAAAAGAAGAAGAGAAGAAGCTCATTTTCCCAAAATTTCAAATTTTTCCAGTGGAAAACAGCAACATGAAAGATCTTGGAAATCAACCTACAATAACTGAATTAATTGAAAATACAGTCTCATACATTTCAAAGATTTCCTGGAAAACTAGTGAAGGAAAAATTTGAAACTTCTTGCATGTAAAGAGGAAGGTGAGAAACTCATTTTCCCAAAATTTCAAATTTCCCAGTAGAAAATAACAACATGAATAATCTTGGAAATCAACCTACATAAACTGAAATAGTTGAAAATACAGTCTCACACATTTCAAAGTTTTCCTGGAAAACTAGTAAAGGGAAAATTTTGAAACTTTTTTCATGTGAAGAAGAAGGTAAGAAGCTTATTTTCCCAAAATTTCAAATTTTTCCAGTGGAAACCAACAACATGAAAAATATTGGAAATCAACCTACAATAACTGAATAAGTTGAAAATACAATCTCACACATTTCACAGTTTTCCTGGAAAACTAGTAAAAGAAAAATTTTGAAACTTTTTGCATGTAAAGAGGAAAGTGAGGAGCTCATCATTTTCCCAAAATTTCAAATTTTTTCAGTAGAAAACAGCAACATGAAAAATCTTGGAAGTCAACCTACAAAAACTGAAAATACAGTCTCACACATTTCAAAGTTTTGCTAAAAAAAAACTAGTAAGGGGAAAATTTTGAAACTTTTTGCATGCAGAGAAGAAGGTAAGAAGCTTATTTTCCCAAAATTTCAAATTTTTTCAGTGGAAAACAGCAACATGAAAAATCTTGGAAATTAACCTACAAAAACTGAATTAGTTGAAAATACAGTCTCACACATTTCAAAGTTTTCCTGGAAAACTAGTAAAGTGAAAATTTTGAAAATTTTTGCATGTAAAGAGGAAGGTGAGAAGCTCATTTTCTCAAAATTTCAAATTTTTCAAATAGAAAATTACAACATGAGGAATCTTGGAAATCAACCTACAATAACTGAATTAATTGAAAATACAGTCTCACTTATTTCAAAGTTTTCCTGAAAAAAGTGAAAAGAAAAATTTTAAAACTTTTTGCATGTAAAGAGGAAGCTGAGAAGCTCATTTTCCCAAAATTTCAAATTTTTCCAGTAAAAAACAGCAACATGAAAAATCTTGGAATTCAATCTACAAAAATTGAATAAGTTGAAAATACAGTCTTATACATTTAAAATTTTTCCTGGAAAACTAGTAAAGGGAAAATTTTGGAACTTTTTGCATGTAAAGAAGAAGGTAAGAAGCTTATTTTACCAAAATTTCAAATTTTTCCAGTGGAAAACAGCAACATGAAAAATCTTGGAAATCAACCTACAAAAACTGAATTAGTTGAAAATACAGTCTCACACATTTCAAAGTTTTCCTGGAAAACTAGTGAAGGGAAAATTTTGAAACTTTTTGCATGTAAAGAGGAAGGTTAGAAGCTCATTTTCCCAAAATTTCAAATTTTTCCCCTAGTAGAAAATAACAACATGAAAAATCTTGGAAATCAACCTACATAAACTGAATTAGTTGAAAATATAGTCTCAAATATTTCAAAGTTTTCCTGGAAAACTAGTAAAGGGAAAATGTTAAAACTTTTTGCATGTGAAAAAGAAGGTAATGAAGCTTATTTTCCCAAAATTTCAAATTTTTCCAGGGGAAAACAACAACATGAAAAATCTTGAAAATCAACCTACAAAAACTGAATAAGTTGAAAATACAACAAACGTCTGTATGTTTGAGGTGGATTTATAATATTACCTTGCATTTTTTGGGACTTACACCTCAATTGAAATTAATACCAGAAGTTTCTTGATCTTGATACGAATTACTACAAGCTTTCTGATTAGAGCAATTTTACCTATCGGATTATTTTTATAAGTTTTACAGTCTCACACATTTCCAAGTTGTCCTGGAAAACTAGTAAAGGGAAAATTTTGAAACTTTTTGCATGTAAAGAAGAAGGTAAGAAGCTTATTTTCCCAAAGTTTCAAATTTTTTCAGTGGAAAACAGCAACATGAAAAATCTTGGAAATCAATTTACAAAAACTGAATTAGTTGAAAATACAGTCTCACACATTCCAAAGTTTTCCTGGAAAACTAGTGAAGGGAAAATTTTGAAACTTTTTGCATGTAAAGAGGAAGGTTAGAAGCTCATTTTCCCAAAATTTCAAATTTTTCCAGTGAAAAATAATAACATGAAAAATCTTGGAAATCAGTCTACAAAAAATTCTTTATTTTTCTGAATTTTTTAAATTTGGAGCTGTAAAACATGAAGTGAAATTTTGGGAGAATTTCTTTAATAAAAATGAATATCCAACGTCCAACACAAAACTAGATTTTTTTTCAAAATTCCCATTTATTACTTTTTTTATAATAAGAATGTGAACCTCAGTGACGTCATGACCCCACAACTTCCTTTAAATTCCTCATAAATTCCTCACAAATTCTTTCAAATTCCCCAGAAATTCCTACAAATTCCCCAAATTCTCATAAATTCCGATGAGTTCCTTCAAATTCCCCACAAATTCCTCTAAATTTCCCACATTTTTGGCAAAGAATTCCTAGGTGGTTTGCCCCTTGATTCCTTGATTTAGTCTATGGGCTATGTTTTCAATTTTGCTAATGTGTGAACCCATATCGGAGCCTTACATAGGAATAGCTATACAATTCTTGTAACAAACTGCATAATATGTGATCTGATGAACTTTTCTCGAATATTCCTCTAATTTTATTGAACTTCTCCTTTGAGGTCTTGCAATCAATGATATGCATCATACATTCTCTATCTATCGATGTCACTATCAGTTTTTGAGCTTTTTGCATCGTTTTTATTCCATTTGGCTAACTCATCAGCTAAATTTGGGCTGGGGTATACCTTGCTTCCAGTCGCTATATCGTATAAATCATAGACTTTAAATGTTACTGTAATTTGAAATTTCAAAATCTGATAAGAAGTTTCTGTTGGATGAAACTTTTTCTATTCTCTGAATTGGACGCCATTTCGAGTTTTTTTTCTATTTCACAATGTGTCCCAGCAATACTTTTAGTTTTTACGTTACCAGGATTTTAATTTTACTTTTTCAACTTAGTTTTTACTTGCACTGAAGCTCTCGGCGCATAACCTGTTGATTTTTACTTATTTAACTTTTACTTTTAGGTTTTAATTTTAATAAAAATTAGTATGTATATTGTGTGTTTAGGTGGAAAAGTGACACGGAAATGTGCTTTTCCTCCGAAATAGATCTGGTTATTGAATCGAAGGAAGTGGTGACAAAAGCTCCTTCCATATCCAAGAAGGAACCCAGCATTACCTCTTTCTTTGCCAGTGTGGTCTCCACCATGCTGACCAGCTGGTGAATAGCTGTTTCTGTTGACTTCCCTGTCTGATACGCATAGTGCTCTGTTTGCCAAAACACCGTTCCTACTGTGCCTATCCACAAGTTTTTCCAGTGTCTTGAGCTCAAAGGATGCAGTACATTGACGTTCTTTTTAATATATATTTACAAGTCCGAGGAGTGACAGTGGATCTGCTGTATATCAGCACTCCATTGGAACTGCTCAGTCCTTTTTTCTCTGTGTCTAATCCACAATTTCTGAATCAGGGCAATATCTACTTCCTCCTTAACAGCAGAAATGACCACCGAGGCTGCCTCACTGTGCTGGAGCTGGATCTGAATTACTTTGATCGCCATCTTTACTCTTTCCGATGGCCCTGAAGGTCTCTACTGTTTTACTATAGGCTTTATCCGATTTTCAGTCATCAGACACTGTTGCATAATTTCCCCACACAATATATTACCAAATTTACTAACCGCATGTCCATTTTTTGATTATTTCAGTACAGAAAGTGGTTGGGACAATCCATTCCGACCGGGCGGCGACCTATCGAGAGAAGCCGACCAAATAGTAGAATTAATAAAAGGCGGCAAACCAATCACGCCCACTCCTGGTAGTCAAGCGCCGTTGCTGCCCTCTGGCGACGATTCCCTTGACTTGAATCATACCGTTGTAGACGGCAGTCCAAAGAAGGTACAGTACAACGAGTAAGTTTTGCCTATACAAAAATTAAGTGCCATTTTTTCTGCGCAGGCCTCGGCACTGTTGAGCGCCGCTCCTAACCAATCAAAAACTAATGGTACCAGCGATAAAGCGACTCCTGGACAGGTGGATGTGCAAAGGAGTACGATAAAAGCGGAAGGAGATGGCGCCCAAGTCGAACACGTGACGATAAAGAAGAAAAAGGGTTGCAATTGTTGTGTGATATCTTAAAAAAATGGACACTATTTGTTGTTGGTGCAAATTTGGGTTTGGTGAACAAAATTGAAAATGATTGGGAATGAGTAAATCAAATGCATATATCAAAATGTTGATATTTCAAATAATTATCACAGATTTTTTATAATGATGGACCATATTAGTCCAATATATTATTATGTATAGTAGGTTTCATGATTAAGGGAGTTTCACGCTCAAAACTTATGCTTCAAATTTTCACGAACATTTTCAATTTCATGCACCACACGCCTGTATATGAATACGGAAAAAATATACAAAAAAAAAGGATGATTAAGTATCTTTAATTTTCAAAATGGTGGATATTGTGCTAATATGTGATTATTTTTTTATGATATAATAAGAATTATATGTTTTATTATTTTTTTGGTGCAAGAATGGTTCAGTAATTAACATGTTTACTGAATCAAAAATGTTTCTTGAAAATAATTTTTTGACTAAGTGTAAAGTGATTGATAGTTGTGTTTATTATTTCTTAAAATATTTATTTATTTTTATCATTAAAAAAGAGTTGCCTATAATGAAAATTAATTTACACTTGGTTTATTTACATTTTTTTATTATCTATATTGACAAAACAATTTACTATTTTTGTTTAGTTTTTAGTTTACAGAGGGCAGCAGCATTTATTCCTTAAAATAAACTATTGTTACTTTGTTTTCAATAAGAATTATAAAGGGATGGAAAATTGTTGGGTTGTTTTGCCTCAAAATCCATTCATTAGAATTATATAAGCTATTCTACACAGTCAATTAATAAACTTTTTGTTTTTACTTTATTTTAGTTGATGTGGCAAACTAGTCAAAAAATACAAAAATATATTGCCTAAATATTGGAAATAATATTTAGAACAATATGTAAAGAACTTGAGGCAAAACAACAATAATTTTGGTTAAAGTTTTAAATAGAATCTTCATTATTAAATATATGGCTGGTTCCAGAAATGATTAAGATACTATAGAAATTTTCAATTAATACAAATATAAGTCAAAAAGTATTTTTTAGTAAAGTAAGATCGTATTTTGAAAAAAAATGCTAACGTCCTTTTTGTCAAATAGTAGAAAAATTGTGTAAATGCAGCTTTATATGCTTTATATCGATACGTGTATAGAGAAAAAGTGTCTTAGATTTATTTTACCGACACTAAACCCTTTTTTGGGTCTCATTTTTTTTTTCTACTTTAATTTCCATTCTATCTTTTTTTTTTTATATATACAATTAAAAATCACAATAACAATTTGTAGGTTACAAATAAAATGAAAAAGAAATTTTTGTATAAGTTGGTAGTATTTATGTATTATATTGTAATATAAAAATAAATTTAATTTGTATACCAAACGCTATTATTATAACGCATTACAAAATAAAATAACTTGTGAAGTAAGTTTTTGTTAAATTTCTTTTCTTAGGAATTGTATAGCATAGCATCATAGTAAAATTTCAAACAAAAGCTCAAGTATGAAGCTTAATACTTTGAAATCAAAATCTTAAGGCTTTTAGAATCTTTGGTGGGTTTTTAGTCTTCAGTGTCTGTCTTCAAAAAAAGACTTCAAAGCTTGTAGAAACTTCAAATTCTTTGATCCTTTGTGTTTTGTCTCAATCAATAATCTTTTCTTAAGCCTTAAGACACCTTAAATTACTATTCAAAATCTAAAAACATAGACTTAAATCTTTATCCAGAATCCAGCAGCATCTCAATAAGTTGTCTTGGTTTGGATATCAAAATCAGAAAAATCATGAACTTTGAGCCTTTTTGCAGTTTCCAATACCTTCAGTACTTTAAATCAAGATCCATAGAATTTTCAGAACATTCAGATCGTTCTTCATTCAACACAGAGAGTTCATGCCAGAATCTTTTGAAAAATGAGCCGATAATATTTCAAATTCTGATTATTACCGGCTCTTGAGTCTCAACTGCAATGAGAAAAATCGTCTAGCGAATCCAGAGCTTTGAACACTACAAGATCGGCCAATTTCCTGGGGGTCAAAGTGGATTCACGGCTGGACTGGAGTGACCATATTGACTGCCTGGCTGGCCAAATGAGGGTGCTGGCAGGTGAGGTAAATTATGAGGTTGCATTAACTGCTTACCACGCTTACATTCAATCAAGATTGAGGTATGGAGTTGTATTCTGGGGTAATAGTCCCGAAGTCTCTCGAGTTTTTATTGCACAAAAAAGATGTATAAGAGCAATATTTGCTATGTGCCAGACAGATAGCTGTAAACCCATATTTATGGCTCACAACATATTAACAGTACCAAGTCAATATATCCTGGAAGCAGCATTGTTTGTTAAGCAAAATCCTGTCCTTTTTCTTGAGCACACTAGGGGGCATTGCTATGATACAAGGGGAAGGACTGATCTTGTCAATGTGAGAAGCAATTTTACTTACATACAAAGAAACGTTCAATTTTCAATTATAAAAATTTTCAACAAGCTACCTTCAAATTGGCAAAGCTTGCAATTCGATAACCTTAAACATAAGTTGAAAAACCACTTACTTCAGAGGGCTTTTTTTAAATGTGCTTGTGACTTAACTTATTTATAATTTTAAACTCAAAACAGTCAATTCAATTTATATTTAGCTTGTAATTTGTAATGTTAGATTAGGGTATTTTTAAATTGACACGTTCTATGTCCGAAAGGGCTTTTGTGATAATTTTTTTAATATTTACAATAATGGAACAAATAAATGCTATGACTATGGCTATGACTATGATAATAGTTCATATTTTGACTATTACCGGCTCTTGATTGCCCCAGAAAAGGAATTCAGAGAATCAAGAGCCGGTAATAGTTCAAATTTTGACTATTACTAGCTCTTTATTGGCTCCAGGAAAGTTTTTCAACAAATCAAGAGCTGGTAATAGTTCAAATTTTGATTATTATCGGGTCTTGACTCTCAACTGCCACGAGAAAAATCGTCTAGCGAATCCAGACCCAATAAAAGTTCGTATTTTGACTATTACCGGCTCTTGATTGGCTTCAGAAAAGTTTCCCAAAGAATCAAGAGCCAGTAATAGTTCAAATTTCGCTGTTCTGCAACTAGAACCCTCTGCGCCCAAGGCAAGTCCAAATTTTGGCGCCCCTCCACCGCCTTCTCAAAAGTCACAATAGATATATTTTTTGATGCTTTGGTTTTTTGAACAGATTCCGAACCAGTCTGGAACTAATTAAGGACTGTCGTAGAGCGCATGCCCAGCTCTAGAATCGGACTGGTTCAGAATTCGGACTGGTGCAAAATTTAATTTTATCGGGAACAGTTTTGGAACGAGTTCTCCAGACTGTTTAATGTGTCAATCCTGAAGCTCTTGCTAAAATCCTAGGACTACTACAACTGGTTCAGAAACGGTTCCGAACCGATTCTGGTTGATCCGCGAATCCAGAACCGTGACTAAAAGTTCGGAATTTTGTGATCTGCGAACGCCATTACTTGAACTGCGCATGCGAAATAGTTTCGAACCAGCCAGTTCAGAATTCTTACCGCGAACGAAGCTATTGTAAAAGAAAAGCTGTTTACGGAAACAATGATCGGGTAAACCCGATCGCCAGTAAAAGTATTTTGTCTTTTTTCAATTAGGGTTTCCATAAAGGTTTTTCGGAATTCAGGACAAAGAAGTCAAGAAATCCGGACAAAATCCGGACTTTGCCGAAATAGCTATTGAGAGTGTGTAAAGTGAAAGGCGATTGCGACAAAATTCACATTTGTGAAAAAAGATTCACTTTACACACGTATTGCATTATATACAAAAATTTTCTACTACCAATAAAATATGTGTATTAAAAAATAAATTAGACAAATACTTTACGCACTAGTGCCTAAAGTAAAGTAATTTACTAGAAGAAAATTACAGTGTCGACATCTGTCATTGACATTACTTCACGCACTATACCTTTTCAACTTCAAATTGGGACTAAACAACTTTAAGTTGGGAACTAACAAAATCATATTGAGAATTAACAAAATCAAATTGGGAATAATCATATTCAATTTGGTACTAATCAACTTCAAATTGGGACTAATCAATTTTAATTTGGGAAGAAACAAATTCAAATTGGGAATAGGCTTATTCAATTTAGGAAATTATATTTGAGACTTTGACTTTGAGTTTGTTTTTCCTTCCGATTACATTCAAGTCCCTTTGAGAAAAATATTTGTGCCAGCTCATATTCAACGCTTTATACCTGATGGCCGGATACGCTAAACATGGCTGATTAGTGATTTGCGAATGAAAATATTTCATCAAAATGAGATTATGTTCAAATTTTTCTTTTATTTCAGCGTAATTTCAGGATTTTCCTCTATGTATCCAGTCATTTATACCTTATGTTCTTCTAAAATGTTTGCTTTTCTTTGTCCCCCACGTTTCCTTCGAACAACTTCTTGGGTACCTACCCATCGATAAGCTGTAGATTTTTTTATACCCAGTGTGTTAGCCAATTTTCTTCAGTCGCCTTTGATATTAAAAACAGCACATATTTGCTTCTCAGCATTTTCTGCATTAGGTGTTTTAATTTAAGGCGTTTTGTTAATTTAATATACGGTTTAAACCTTATTGATTAATCCCAATTTGAAATTGCTACGTTCCAAATTGAAATTGATTGTTCCCAATTTGAAGTTGAAAAGGTATAGTAGGCAATTTTTCGCGAGGATAATCAAGCATAATCTAATTATGCTGGGTTATGTGGTGTGTAACTTCCTCTCCATTCAATTCTGGGCCTGCGCGTGACGTCACTACCAGCAGCTTATAGTGATGACGTCACCCGCAGACCACGATGGAATGCTTGCGATTCAGGCTGTGCTAGTAAGTTAATTGTTTCGTCGATTTTAAATGTAGAAATAGAAAAGGTGATTTTCGGTCTGCTGTTTTCACAGAAGAAGTTAAGTGTTCTTGATCCTCGAGTATCCCAGAATTTGATGATGGGTGAGTTAGGGGAGTATTACAACCGGAGTATGACACAATTGACATACCTATCACATAATCTAGCATACTCGAGTATGCTTGGTTATCCTCGCGAAAAATTGCCTAGTGACCCTAGTGTGTAAAGTGATTTACTTTACGTACTAATGCGTGAAGTGAAATGTTACACGTCTTTTGGATAGTGCGTAAACTGAGTATGAGACAGTATGAGTGTTTTCACGATCTCCGAGTTTTCCGGACATTGTTCCGAATTCCGGCCGGACTTCCCCGGACACCCTAAAAATCCAAACATGTCCGGGTAAATCCGGACGTATGGAAACCCTATTTTCAATCGTATTCATTAGGGAAAGATAGAAAATATTCAGGTGCTGATCGGGTTAACTCGATTATAGTTTCCGTAAACGGCTAAACAGAAAAGAGTCAAAAGATGTAACACAAGCAAAAGAAATTTCCGTGCTACGACAAATAACGCGTAAAACCGTTGCATTTTTTTGGATTGTAAAATATGAATGGATTAAATTAGGCGCCTTCGGCGCCCCGATACTCCGGCGCCCTAGGCGTGCGCCTAGTTCGCCACCCCCTAAGTTGCGGCCCTGGTTCTGGTTTTCCAAATATGGCCTCGAAGTTAACAATATCTCCAGTAGGTATAGCGTATTTTAAATCAAGATCCGTAGATAGAATTTTCAAAATATTTAGATCGTTCTTCATGCAGCATACAGCCTTCAAGCCGGAATCTTTTGAAAAATGAGTGCCCATAAAGTCTTCAATGTTGAGTCTAGAATATATAATATAAGCTGGATCCAAACTATGTATATAACAAAATTTCATAACTTGTTAGAGAATTTTAAATAGAAAAGTTTACACAACACAGTGTTGTACAGGGTGATCTATTATAAATGTAACCCCTGCTTACTTTTTCATTTGACGTTTTTGACAGAAGTGTCAAATACAAAAGTTTCAAGAAATTGTCAAAAGTTTTTAACTAAGTCAGTTTTAAGCATACAGGGTGCGTAAAAAAAGTGCAGCAGTGTGAAGTTATATTTTTTTAAATGGAACACCCTGTATATTGTGTGCCTGTTTGTTAGTCCCCTGATTTCAACGATATATGGTTTGATATGTTTATCCCTCAGTTTATCTCCAATAGTTATAGGAAAAAAACCGAAAATTCCTTCCTAGGTCTCTCATGTTATTTTTTTTTTAAATAATAATAATAGCTTAATTAGACATCTGGATTTATTATAATATTTCACCTTGTATATTAATGAATAAAATTTGAACAATAAACTGATAATAAAAAAATTCTATAAAGCTTAAATGGTATAATTTTCCTTTTTTCAATATGAAACCTTAAAAGGGGTTTTCATGTTTTTCCCTATAAGTGTTGAAGATAGACATATCAAACCCTATATCGTTGAAAACAGGTTAAAGGGGACTAACAATTAGGCGCACAATATACAGGGTGTTCTATTTAAAAAAATATAACTTCACGCTACTGCACTTTTTTGACGCACCCTGTATGCCTAAAACTGACTTACTTAAAAACTTTTGACAATTTCTTGAAACTTTTGTATGTGACACTTCTGTCAGAAACGTCAATTGAAAAAGTTAGCAGGGGGTTACATTTATAATAGATCACCCTGTACAACGGTACGTTTTGCTGGTTATATAGCATGTCTAATAAATGTTATCCATTATATGTCGGTAAAGATCAAAGGAAGTTATAAACCATTATAACAAGTTACACAACAAATTTGTTGTACCAGACTTTTGTTATCAACATGTTTTGTTACAAAGTCTGGACCCGGCTTCAAGACTTCAATAATCATGAGCCTTAAAATCGTCTAGCGAATCCAGAGCCGATAATAGTTCGTATTTATTATTTAACGGCTCTTGATTGGTTCTAGGAAAGTTGTTAAGAGAATCAAGAGCCGGTAATAGTTCAAATTTCATGCTGATAGCTTTTCTAGTTTTCAAAATATTGCCTCGTGAGCTTTGGGCCTCTTGAAGTTTCCAAATATCTCCAGTACCTACTTAAAATCAAGATCCTTAGTAGAATCTTAAAATTATTTAGTATTTAGATCATTCTTTATCTCAGAAATGGGCGCTTCAAAGGCTTCAACACTGGAGTACAGTACATATTTCAGTATTCTTTCAAATCAAGCGCTTTTCAATCTTAAAAATCTTTGAACTTCTACTTTTTTGAAGTCTTCAAAGGCTTTAATTTTAAATCAGCACTGAATCTCATGCCGGAATCTTTTGAAAAATGAGTTTCCGTAAAGTCTATTCAATGTTGAGTCTAGAACATTTGAAGTCTTGTTTCAAAGGCTTCAAATCATGAGCCTCAAAATCATATTTTTCAACATCTTTAGAATTTTTATAGGTTTTGTCTTGTATCTTGAATAAGTGGAGATTACTTTAATCTAAGATGTGGAAAAATAAATGATTCGAAAGGTCTTAAGACCATCGAAGTCTTCAGAGTTTTCAGAGGCATTTTTTAAATCAGGAATCTTAATTTTCTTCTGCTTCTCTAGAATCCTCAAAGGTTTCAATTTTAAGACTTAATTCGTTCCTTAATGAGCTAATAAGACTCTAGAAAGTCTTCAATGTTGCATCTTTAGAAGTTTCAAGACGTTTGAGTATTCAAATATTCAACAACATATAAAGCTTGCACCAATTTATCAAGAAAGTTTTTATGAAATTTTTATTTTGCGTTCACCATTTAGCTGAGATTTTGTTATTTGTAAAATGTTCCATCATCAAATAAGAAATAATTCATCTTCAACTATTGTAATTATTAGTTCCTCAAGTCAAGGTGAACTAAATTTATAAGTATTTCATTATACATTCAAATGTAAAAAATCATTGATGTGATGGTCATCTTAAAACAAAACGAGCAAAAGTTAACTATAACAGGAGCAACTTTGATCTTTTTAAGCAATACACTGACCCGACCTCGCGCATCAATCAACCTCTCCAAAACGCTATCATTATCTTAAAATTATTCTACTTTAAATCCTAACTTTTAGTCGTTTTCGGATTATGACCTACTTTCTGAAATGCAGTAGTTCAATCTATGGTCTTAGAAGACTCTAATACATTCTTAGATAATGGTTTTACAAGAGGACCTCCGGGGCGGTAATTAATTTTTTTTTATTCAATGAGAACCAAAACACGAAGTAATAATAATGATTGTTTCTTCACGGTAATAATGTGTCCGTAATATGAAAAAATTATAAGTATTCCCATATAATTTAGGCAATTTTTCATTGTGTTTGTGTAACGTCTTGTTTAGGATTTATCTAACAAGACTTTAGTAGTGGTTATTTTAAAAATGATTTGGAAATTTTTGAAAGATTTGGATGAAGGAAAACAGAATTTTAAAACTGCTGAAGAAGGCGTATTTCTGGAATTTCCAGATAATTTACTCATGGAGATCAAGAAATATCTGGATTAATCTACATAAGCCTAATTGAAACGTTTTCAAAATTTAAGAGATAGGTACCTACCTACCTATAGAATATAAGAGAGTTGTAGATATCCTTGAATCCTGAACTGTTGAAGAAGATTAACTTTTCTCAGAAAATCATCAGGACTAGAGAAGTCTGGAAAATGGTGAAATAGTATGCTGCAATTTTGTTTCTTCAAAATTCGAAAAAAGTCGATTTCCAATTTTGGGGAATTCCCAGTGAAAAAGAAGGATTTTCTTCTAGAACTGAGGAGGCGTTGAAAGTGAAATTGAACTATTGAAGATGACACATTTATGAATCCTTTAGGGAAGAAATGTTCAAAACTGATGTTGGATTTGACTTTATTCAGTAAATGATTGTCACCACGAGGGCGAAAAATTCAACTTTGTCACTAATCTAGCTCAAACCCAGTTTTTCTAACCTTTATTATGTACCATAACAAAGTATCACCTGGTTCTACTCATGTACTGCTGAGTTACCTCTTGGTTGGATATCTCAGAATATTTTTAGGGTTTATTTCAGTATAGATACAAATAAAACTCCAGTATAATTTTGCTAATTATTTATATTTTTGGCAAAATAAACTTCAAGTATTTTCAATACTACATAAGCAAATCAATAAATATAAGCACCATTTGCGTCCTGAGCCTGAACTCCGGCTACTTTCGATGGATTCACATGGTTTCCTGCAAAACCTGGACCAAATTCTCCAGCTCCTGTTCCAGAAGCACCAAAACCAGTGGATGGTGCATTATGTTGATATCCTTGAGGTTGAATATTGGAGTGAGAGTATTGACCAGACACACTAGTTGGAGAAACACTGGAATCTGAGGATTTAGAAGCAGAATATCCATTCGTTGATCCATGAGAGAAAGCTGAAGGGTTTTGGGCATTAGATGATGCCTGAGGAGAATATTGACCTGAGATACTGCTCGGAGAACCACTACTTGATACATGAGAAGCTGATGGAGCAGAATTAGTGCTCGATCCATGAGAGAAAGCTGATGGTGTTTGAGCAGGAGAGTATTGACTTGGGGTGGATGGTGCATTATATTGATATCCTTGAGGTTGAATATTGGAGTGAGAGTATTGGCCAGACACACTAGTTGGAGAAACACTGGAATCTGAGGATTTAGAAGCAGAATATCCATTCGTTGATCCATGAGAGAAAGCTGAAGGGTTTTGGGCATTAGATGATGCCTGAGGAGAATATTGACCTGAGATACTGCTCGGAGAACCACTTGATACATGAGAAGCTGATGGAGCAGAATTAGTGCTCGATCCATGAGAGAAAGCTGATGGTGTTTGAGCAGGAGAGTATTGACTTGGGGTGGATGGTGCATTATATTGATAACCTTGAGTTTGATGATTGGAGTGAGAGTATTGGCCAGAAACACTAGTTGGAGAAACACTGGAATCTGAGGATTTAGAAGCAGAATATCCATTCGTTGATCCATGAGAGAAAGCTGAAGGGTTTTGGGCATTAGATGATGCCTGAGAAGAGTATTGACCTGAAACACTGCTCGGAGAACCACTTGATACATGAGAAGCTGATGGAGTTTGAGAAACAGGAGCAGACCCATGGGAGAAAGCTGTTGGTGTTTGAGGAGAGTATTGACTTGCGGTGGATGGTGCATTATATTGATATCCTTGGTTTCCAACAGAATTTACTTGAGGTTGAATATTGGAGTGAGAGTATTGGCCAGACACACTAGTTGGAGAAACACTGGAATCTGAGTTTTCAGGTGCAGATCCATGACTTGAAGAACCACTAGTGTGAGGAGCAGAATATCCATGAGAGAAAGCTGAAGGATTTTGGGCTTTAGAAGAGGCCTGAGGAGAGTATTGACTTGATGGGTTCTGACCATTTGATTGTGCTTGAGGAGATGCTGCAGCATGACTGCCATATCCACTGATAGATCCATGAGAGGAAGCTGAAGGTGCTTGATTTGGAGAACCACTAAATTGGGAAGAATACTGACTTGGAGCAACATTGGAATCTAAATTTTTAGAAGGTCCAAATTGTGAAGAAGCCAAACCATGGAATGCTGAATTGACAGGTTTGGGGCTCAAATATTGTCTTGAACTACTAGAATGTCCTTGACTGTCAGCTTTATACGATCCATCGTCATTTTCTTCTTCAGGATGAGCCTTATTGTATTCAATACTTTTCAAAATCGCGTCTGGCACAGGTGGAGGAGTAGGCAAGTTGTCACCGTGCGGATGATATCCATTTTCATCAGCAGTGTAGCTCAAATCGATTTTTTCGCCTTCAGGAGAGGTGTAAGAGTAAGCTCCTTGCACTAACGAGCTATCACCTGAAGTCTCACCTTGTTCAGCAGCTTGAATACCATTACCAGTTTCGTAGGCAGTACTATAACTTCCATCTCCGTTGTTAGTAGTTTCCAATTTGATTATGGGGATTTGGTTTTGTGGCGCTGAAGGTTGGTACTTTTGTTGAGAGTAATAGTCGGTTTTGCCATAAGAGGATGGTGCAGGTTGGTTTGGAGAGAAAGAAGATTGAGAACTAGATCCAGCAGTGTTGCTGTCAGGAGCTACTTGGCTTGGACCATGATGAGAAGGTTGTGGGTTAGAATAGCCACTAGGTCCAAAATTTGATACATGAGATGGTTGAGATGAACTTCCAGAATGTCCACCAAAACCTGATGGGCTAGAATGGTGACTATTGGTGCTTCTATCAACTAATTGAGGTCCATTAGAATCTGGAGCAGCTAATCCTTGGTCGAAACTCTCACTACTGGCAGGTCTGCTGTTTGGTGGCAAGTATTTCAAGTGGTCCAACTTGGCGCACTGGGTGTAACCCAAAAAGGCCAAGGCGAGAAATATCTGCAAAAAGAAAATTTTTAAAACTGCATTCTGAGAACTAGGTCTACGGACAATATGTAATTAACGCGCTAGAAGATTTACTAGCGACATTTGCATAAGATTTTACACATAATATGATTTTGTATATTTTTGGATACTTACGGTTTTCATTTTGTTAATCCTCAAAAAAGCTTTAGTCACTACTAAAACTTAATTATTCTTAAACCGAAATAATTTGAATACTATGACACTGTAATTATAATTCAGACATTTTATAGTAGCAATATCGATACTCCCACTACAATAATTAGTCACCAATCAATAAAGTAGACACTAATTGAGACTATTCTAATATACACACATGCTTTGATGCATTAAATTTGAAAAAATGAAGATGTAAAAAAGATCGTGATGTTCGGTAACCTTTAATATCTTCATATTAAGATCCGTGCTATATGGAATTTTGATGATCTCAATCAAGATACAGGATCCAAGTAAATTTTTTAAAAATTTCTTCAAGGAACCCAGAGAAGAAAAATAAACTAGTTTCATGGAAATTCTTGGTTCAAAGTGCCATCATGATAATTGAAGAAATTGTATTGAGTCATTATTAGGATCATCAGATGAAGAATTTGGTGTATTTTTAACCAAACGTAAATGTTTGAGTACGTCCCTGCCTTAAAAAAACTACAAATTAATAATTAACGATACCTAAAAAACCAAAAACAACAATTACAACCATTAGGCAGAATGAAAAGATTCACCATAAATGAATAACTGATAATCGTTAGTTCCGCATTATTCGATTACACAAAGCCAAAATATCTTGTATTGATGAACAATCGAATGTTGATTTTTATTGATGTTTGAATGGGTTTAAATTGGTATCAAGAACTTAAGGCTTACATTAGTTTTGGCCTTAAAAACATGACCTTAAAGTTGGCTCCTATAAAAATACTTTTCTTGATTATCAAAGATTCTTGCATACAGAATCATTTTAATTCAATCTAAATCATTGATTCGTTCATAGCATATTAAAAATTATGTTGATTGGAAACATTGCATTTCAAAATAATTCTGTATATGTGTACTTAGATATTGTAACTAATAATTTAGAAAAAAACAAATAGTAAGCGAAATCCTTCAATTAACCAAAAGATGTATATTTCTCTCTTCGATTATACAATAGGCTTTTAAGACGTTTACTTATTACACATCCATCATATTAGCTTTATTAAAGAAGATCAAGTTTAAATCGTGCACCGATTTAAAAAAAAAATCCTCATGGATCAATTTAGATTTGCGATTTGGTTCACATTAGTGGGAGGGATTTCTTTGTTAGTGTGTATAAAAGAGAATATCCTAAATTTGCAAGCCATCAGTTTAGTTTCCCACGATCTAAAAGAATAAAGTAGCTTAGAGTTTTTCCTATATCTATGTTTATTGCGATGAACAAAGTGAGTGTTGAATTTTTTATAATTATTATAATTAGGCTTCATTATTGGTATAATAATTAGCTAAGTATATGTATAGCAAGGATAGTTATTAGTGAAGTGATTTCTTGAGAGTCAATTTGTTGCAAAAATTGTCTTCAGCTTATGAATCTTGGAAAATGAATGGCATTTCTATGAAGATACTACCTTTTAAAATCGTCTTTTGCATGCAGTTTTTATGATTTTTTTCAGTCATAGGAAATAAGTATAATTTCATGGAAATGAGCAGCTCTACGACAGTGATGTAGGTACTTTCGATTTACTTTTGAGAAATGTTAGACTTTCCTCACACCTAGGTTGTTATCTTGTGTAAAACTCTATTTAATAATAGCTTTTATGATTGGAAAAAGTAGCTTTGCACTTTGCTCTTGTGGAGTAAGTACAGTTAGTAGAGTATAGTTTGGAGATTGTTCAGTATCTGTCGTGATGGATTTTTAAAGCTGATTGAAAGAATTTGAGTAAAGTGATGACCGATTCAGCTTGTTCGGGATTAGACTTTTGAGGTTGTGAAGTTTGATGAGATCATTCTAAAGGATGTCTGAAATTATATACCTGAGATGGGTATTTACCTTAAATGTTGGCTTCTTCAATAGTGAAAGCACCATTTCCATTTAAGCTTTTTCATTCTTCTTTATAGTAGCATCGACTTCCTTATTTTCAATAATTTTCTGAGCATAATCTGGTTTTGCTTTAAAATCACTTATATTCCTTAATTTTCTGACCATTGTTGATTTTTGATTCAACATTTGTCCCATTTGATAATTAGGTATTCTCTATTGTTTTAGCATTATCAGAGCTTCCAGCATTTTTGTTTCGGCATCAACTTCGTTATTGATTTATCCAATTCTGAGTTGTTCCGATTTCAATTTGCTCTTCAGAAACTGTTCTCATCTTTGTGTTTAAATGATCACTCCATACACTTATGAAATCTTGAAGTTACATTGCTCTTTCCTCTTGTGGAGTACAGTTTCTTTGAAGAGGATCAGTACCCATCTGTTAAAAGGATTCTTCAAGTTCTCTGACTGAAATACGTTTTTCTTCTTTTAGAGGTTGCTGTTCTATTAAAGCAGTTGCTGACTGAAATGTTGTGAGTAAAGTGAGAATCAATTCAGCTTATTTAGGATCATACCTATGGAGATTCTGAAGTTTGATGATTCGTTCTAAAGGTTTTTCCAGAATATCTGAAACTATTTAAGAGTGTCCTGTAATCGAAATGTTGGCTTCTTCAATATGTATATTGAAAGCATTGGTTCGAATTTCTTAGATCGTTTTAAGGTTTCTTAGCTTTCCCATCCTTTTCCTAGTAGCAGCATCGCATCGACTTTCTCAATTTCAATAATTTCCTGAACATCATTTGGGTTTTGTTTCAATTTTTACAATTTCTCAGCTTTGTTGGTTTTTGATTCAGCTCTAGTTGCAGAACTTTTCTCCGTCATTATTTGATAATTTTCTAAATGCTTTAGCATTATCAAAACAGCTTCCAGAATTTTTGTTTCGGCATCACCTTCGTTACTGACTTCTACAATTTTCTGAGTTGTTTTGATATCAATTTGCTCTTCACAAACTGGTCTCATCCAGGCTGCGGATTTATCTTCTACTTCACAAGTTTCTTCATCAGACTTGAGAGCATCCGTCCATTTTTCTTCAACAGTTGCAGCTCCATTCTGCACTAGATCAGTTTCTTTTGGAAGTTGAGCTTATTTAACTTCTTTGACACACAAAAAAGTCTCAGTTTTTCGAGTACAGATATATGTTATGTTTCTTCTACAGCTTCAATTGCCTAGGAAATTTTTTGAAATTGTACTGAAGCCAGAGCTGAAATTTCTCCTCTTGAAGATTCGATTTCTGCGTCTTTAGAACCCTTCTGGTCATTGGAAGCGACAACTATTCAAAGATCCAAATCAAATGTACTAGCATGATGAAATTTCAAATTTTATGTTGAAATTTTGTGTTTAAATGATCATTTGGGACCCCTAAACTCCATAAACTTATGAAATCTTGAAGTTACTTTGCACTTTGCTCTTGCGGAGTACAGTTTCTTTGAAGATGTTCATCTGTATCTATCATAAAGGATTTGACTGCAATACGTTTTTCTTCTTTTAGAGGTTGCTGTTCTATTAAAGCAGTTGCTGACTGAAATGTTTTGAGTAAAGTGAGAACCAATTCAGCTTGTTTAGGATCATACCTATGGAGATTCTGAAGTTTGATGAGCTCGTTCTACAGGTTTTTCCAGAATGTCTGGAATTATTTGAGAGTGTTCTGTAACCGATATGTCGGCTTCTTCATTATGTATATTGAAAGCATTGGTTCGAATTTCTTGGATCGTTTTAGGGTTTTTTAGCTTTCCCATCCTCCTCCTAGTAGCAGCATAGTCAGTAAAGTAAAGTAAAGTAAGGTAAAGTAATTTATTCAGGTATTTGATTACAAATAAATCATTCCCAGCGTCAAGGTGCATACCGATCAAAATTGAAATTGAAATTAAAATTAAATATTCTTCAAACTATGCCTAGTACTACAAACACTGCAATAGACAGTCATTAAAATTTGTCACATAACACAACTGAGACAACCTGTTGTAAAAAAACGTGACCTACTGAGCCTGTGGAAGTTAATCCTTATGTTTTCGTTGGCTCTTTGTTGGATAATTGTGATACAGGTTATTAAGACTGTACAAGGTACCGGGTTTGAGTGGCAGTAAAGCAGGCTCTCATAGATATACCTCGATGGGATGCGGTAAGTATCTTGTTATCGATGAAACGTCCTCCCTGTAACCTAGTCCTACCACAACTCTTAGGGCCCTCCTCTGAGGACCAAAAACTCTCTGTGCATATGCACAGTGACCCCACACGAGAATTCCGTAGGTAGCCGTCGACTGGAAGATGGCATGAAATGTTTGGAGTAGAACAGGAAATGGAAGGACCTTTACAAGGTTTCTCAACAGAAAAATAGTACTACATAACTGACATGCTATTCAAAGGTCAATCGTGGATCAAGCACAATTTCTAAAAATTTTGAAAAAGTTGGAATTGTCCTCAGGTAGTTTTCTCATCCCAAAAAACATTTTTACAGTTTTTGAAGCATTCATGGACATTTTATTTGCTGCAAACCATTCATTCAATAATTGTAGATTAAGGTTCAGAGCAAGGGACAAGTCCCCCATCATTTAAGCGTGCTCTATAAGTATGGTATCGTCCGCAAATAGCCAGAGAACCAAGCCATCAGAATATCATTCATATAGACCAGAAATAGCAGCGGTCCGAGCACCGACCTCTGCGGCACCTCATGGTCCATGGTCACAGGCCTAGAAAGCTTGCCATTATAAGCCACTTGCTGCTGCCTTTGCCCCAAGTAAGATTTCATCATGCTCACACTCATAGTATCTTAATTTCCTCAGCAACAGTCCATGCCTTTGATAAGTCGCAGAAAGCCGCCTCCACATACTCTTCATACTCAAAGGCTCTAAAAAGATAGTCCAACAAGTCAATCAGTCAAGATCGTAGACCTTCCAGCTCTAAAGCCATACTGGCAATCGATAAATAGCCCATTCTCCCCAAAATATCTGCACACTTGAGTCTTAAGTATGACTTCCAAGATTTTCCCTGGATCGACCTTGTTGCCCTTTTTTAAAAATGGGAATGACCTTTGAAACCTTAAACCAAGAAAAGAATTTACCGTCTCTAATGTATTGGTTGTGGAGTTTGGTCAGAGGCTCCAATAATTAAGTAACACTTCAATTTCTTTAATAAGGGAATACTGATATTGTGTAGACGTCTCTAGAATGCTTATTCTTCATGCTGCTAAGTGAGTCCCTCACACTGCCCAGACTAACCTCTGAGTAAGAAAATCTTAGATTTGTCACCCCAGGCCTCCTGAGTAAGAAATCATCTGGCGAGCTCTAGTTGCAGATTTAGTGTCTGTCATTATTTGATAATTTTCCATATTGCTTTAGCATTATCAAGACAGCTTCCAGAATTTTTGTTTCGGTATCAGTTTCGTTATTGACTTCTACAATTTTCTGAGTTGTTTCCAATTTCAATTTGCTCTTCAGAAACTGTTCTCATAATAATTTCTGATATTGCAGAGGCTGCGGATTCATCTTCGGCTTCAGAAGTTTCTTCATCAGACTTGAGAGTGAGCGGTTTTTTCTTCAACAGTTGGAGCTTCATTTTTCCAGCTTCTTTTGGAATTTTAGCTTATTTTGATTAGTTTAGTTCCGTCCAAAGCAGCTTCTTCCTCTTTAACTTCTTTGACAGACAAAAGAGTCTCAGTTTTTTTGAGTACCTACTGATATACGCTTCTACAACTTCAATTGCTTAGAAACAAAATTTCTTGAAATTCTACTGATGCCAGAGCTGAAATCTCTCCTTGAAGATTCAATTTCTGGTGGGATCTTTTTGTTTGTTAGAAGCGACAACTGTTCAAGGATCCAAATCAAAAGATCCCTTTAGTACTAAAATGATGAAAATTCGTACTTGAACAGCATATTGATAAGTAAATTGCTGCGGAACTCGCTCCGCTCGTCCCGCAGAGATCTACTCGTGAGTTCTATACCTCTGTTCCGTAGCCATTCACTCGTCAATACGTGATCCATGTAAAACACTCATCTGAAACGAATGAGCAGAGGTCTACTCATACCACGGTAATGAATGCATCAAACAATATACAGTTACAAGTGAATAAAGCTGACATGATCACTTGGCAGAAAACACTATTGTGAAGGCCTAAACTCCAACTTCTAAAGTTACTTTTTTGCTATTTTGTCGTTGTTTAATGCGGTGAAAACGCAGTTTCCTAAAAATCTTTGAAAATGAAATCACATTTACACTAATTAAAGCCACCATTGTAGGTACCATTATTTTCCCATACCATACTATCAAAAATGATCAAAATTGTCTCAATAATAAATCATTTTCTATGATTACAAATATTGTATTCAACAAAGTGTTACGCATATCACACTATTATTTATTAAATAATAAGCAAAATGTTGCAAAAATAATCTTCATAGAGCAAAAGCGCATTATTTCATAACCCAGTAACGCGTGCAATCTGGGTTCTCACGTTCTTATAGCAGTTTAGTAACTCACTTCTTTTCTTATTCCATCAAACACAAAGCTGTTGTGTATTTGCTAATTGAGCTATTGCATTTATGAAGATTTTTCGTTTTTCCTTGCAAGCAAACTAAATTAATTTTAATATTTTTCCTTTTACGGAGGATTTTTTTCGAAGAAGGTTGAATTAAAGAGTTTAATGCGAATTTAATGGTTCAACAACGAGAACATCTTTTCGGCCTTACATAATTCGGTTTTTATTTGCTTATTGAATATGGCTTGGGGATTTATCTTGATTTAACTATATATTTTATGGTAATGTGGAGCAATCTTTTGGCACAACATCTTTGTAATTTCGAAGAAGGGGAGACACTTTGAACATATATAAAGACAAAAATGTTTTATCAAAAATTGTCAGTGTAGCGCATAATGAATACAGTGAGTGCTCGATGTTATATAGGATAACTGAATTAAATTTTCAATTTTCAGGTAATTTTGTGTCTAGCCTTCCTAGGCTACGCCTCGGCAGCCAGATTAGATCATCTTCAAAACAACCAATACCTTCCACCTCAAGGAAATGCTGTAGAACGTCAACAAAATTTCCCTGGACCAAAATCGGGCCAACAACAAGGAGCAGGTACTTCTTGTGAACTATTATAAGTTATCATTATATAAAAATATTAATTTTTACAGGTCAATATCAACCTTCCAATCAATATGGGGCTCCATCTGGACAAGGTGCTCAACAGCAATACTCTGGTCAAGGAAGTCAACCTTCCAATCAATACGGAGCTCCATCAGGACAACAGCAAGATAGTCAACCTTCAAACCAATACGGAGCTCCATCTGGACAACAGCAATACTCCAACGAACAACTTCCAACGCAAAGATCTCCATTGGCCGATGTACCTATTTTAAGGCTGGACAGTGACAATCCTGGAGATGGAACTTACAGGTAGCTACCTGAATTACTTACACAACTCAAATTAAAATTATTTTTTGTCTAGATACAACTATGAAACTGGTAACGACATCGCAGCTCAAGAAGAAGGCAGCGCTCAATCAGGCTGGAACAAAGCCCAAGGCTCTTACCGTTTCGTATCGCCGGAAGGCCAAAACTTCGAAGTCACTTATACCGCCGACGAAAACGGTTACGTTCCACAAGGAGCCCATTTACCAACACCACCTCCAATTCCAGAAGAGATCCTCAAATCCTTGGAATTAATCAGGCAAGCTGAAGCTTCAGGAAATATTATCGAAGGAGCTTATCAACCTGAAGGCGACGACGGTCAGTATCACGAAAGTCACGATGAAGGTCAGTACAATCATCAGCAACCAAGTGAAGGATATCAGCAACCAAGTGGAGGATATCAGCAACCAAGCGGAGGTTATCAACAACAACAACAACAACAACAACAGCCTAGTGGAGTTGCTAAAAATCAACCACAAGGTTTTCAAAAACAACCCATAGCTTCAAATGGAGGCTATAGATATTAAGTGATATTATTGTTATAAGTACATATATAAAAAAAATAAAATAAATGATATATTTTTTTTATATGTTAGTTGTTGTATATGCCAAGGCAATAAGACTTTGCTTTAACGTGACCCTAGGGTCGTGTTCACTTAACCGTTAATATTAAGCCGTCGACATAATTTATATATTTACTCGACTATAGAAAGGAGGACCCGATGAATGAACGCGGAAGGACGAAACTGGTTCATTAAGATCGTGAACTTTTGCAATGAATTATTGCGCTACGCCTTTTGTATTGCATTGAATGTGTTTCTCTATAAGGCTATTTAGATTTCGGTTTGTAATTGTCAGATAATTGAGAAAAGATAAATAAGCAAGAATAATCTAGGAAATAGATTCATTAATCAAAGTTGAAATTTCATAAAATTGTGAGGCACACTGAAAATCCAGCCTGTCATGTTTGTCACAATAACGTACCAGGTTCTATCAATTGCGGATACCCTTCTAGGCATGAATACCTATCAGTGCATTGCTGACCCACCACTAGGTGATGGCGCCACACTATGGCTGTATCATGTAGCAACAGGTAGCAACACTTTATGATACATAAAAATTGTTAGTTTGGTATTGCCAGTCAATAGCTGTCCCAAAGGGATGTTGAAAATAATGTATCGCAGAAACTGAAAATCTCTGAGAAGTTTCTATGCAAAATTAGTATTATTCAGCCAATGAGAGAAGTTGTGTGAAAAGTCAAGAGAGTACGAAGAAGCTTAAATTATCGAAATAAATTTCAACCCCTTTGATGTCTCCAAATAGCTCATAATGTAATTTTTGAAAATCTCAGGTGCTGAGCTTATGCCAAATGGCATGCGACAAAATTAAATCTCCCAAATGGAGTTGCAAATGCACAGTAATCTGATGATTGTTTATCTAACATGTCCTGAAAGTACCCGTCTTTCATGTCCAATACCGTAAAGTATTTTTTTATTACTTAACTTGCTTGCAATCTCATCTGCAATGGGAATTAAAAATGGTTCATTTTTAATAGCTTGATTTTGCATAGCTTTAAATCACCATTTTTTTTCTCCACTATCACAAGAAGGTTGAGCCAGTCTGTAGGCTTTTCGACCTTTGGAATAACATTCGATGCCTGAAGTTCATCTAGTTTGTTTTTAAGCTTTTCATAAATGGCCTGTAGCACACGCCTTAAGGGCTGTATGTGTGGCACTTTTAAAATGATCTTATATTTTCTCGGAAATTCCAAACCAGAAAAAACTTCAGGATACTCAGAAACCATATTATTAATGTTATTAAATGACAACTTAACATTATCAACACGCTGCACTAGATTTAGTTTGATGCATGCACTCAAGCCTAAGAGAGCCATTTGATTTTTACCATCAACTACTAAAAAGTCAATTAGAGCCACATGTTTTTTAACTGAACACTCAAGTGATATTTTTCCAATAGGCTTAATCCTGAATTCAGAACTACCATAAGATATTAGTGTGATATTGGTGGCTTTTAATTACTTTTTTGTTTTAAGAGACTTGAATAAATATACTTACAGGAATAATACTAACTTCAGCACCTGTATCCAACTTTAACTCTAACACACCCATATAACAGTGAAAGAACATTCATATTCTCAGAATATTCCCTCAAAGTGCTTTTTGGAATATTCTTTTAGGAATGTTCAATGAATATTCTAAGATTGTTTCGATTGAAATATTCGTTTTTGAACGTTCTATTTATGTACTAGGAATGTTGCTTCTATGCACCTACCTGAAAGATTGTGCTAAGAACCTACTTTAAATAACATTATTTGAATAATCTCATACGAACATTATTATAATGTACCCTAAAAAATGTTCCTTCGGCTAATATCTCTATCAATTATTAAGAATATACCTACCAAGTTGTACTGAGAAGTTTATGTAGGTAGGTAACCATGATAAGAATATTTTCATATTGTTCACCTAATTATCTAAAGTACCTACTCAAAAATCTTAATTGAACCATTAAACAATAATGCTCTATCTAGAACCTACTAAGAATATTATAGGTTTATTCTTTTTCATTTGCTTTGTAGGACTTCCAAGAGAGGGAGCCACGCGCTATTAAAGATCTACATCTTGCCTCGCGTTTGAATCACCTTGGAACTTGTTTCTCTCAGTTAGCGTTCTTCGAGAGAGCATAACAATATCGAAACCGGAGCTTTGGTTAAACACTTGTGTTTTCCAGTGAAATTTTCCAACAATTCTTTCACTGCCTTTAATATAAAAGGACTGGAAGGAGCATTATTTGGAAAAGAAAATTCACATTCCAAGTATATCCTTAGAATCAAACAAGAATGTTATGTCTAGAGGATGCATATTGAGAATGATATATGTAGATATATTCTAAGAATATTTCAAGTATATTGGTATAATATTCTTTTGAGAACATAACTATAGTGTCATAGAAACATTCTTTGAATATGAGAATATACATTTCGAGCATATTTTTAGAATCAAACAAGAATATTCATTTCAGGATGTACTGAGAATCTCATAGGCATATTCTAGGAATATCCTAATGGATTTCCCAGGAAGTTCTTGGGTATTGCAAACAGTATTTCTACAATCTTTTCTCAGAACATTCTCAGGACATTCGCAATGGTTTTGGCGAATATTCTAGGCACATTCTTCCTAAAAAAAGAACATTCTTAGTACATTCTAAGGATGCAATTTTGTTATGTGGGCAGTACCTTCCACACATACCTTGGATTTCCATAGTTCTTCTACTGAGTCCACATTTTTTGTTATGGAGCTTACGAAGAACTCACTATTGCCTGAGCTGACATTATCGTCATCACTGTCATCACTGTCCTCACTGGTTTCAAATTCTTCTTTCACCTCATACACTTTTTTCCTTGGCTTTTTCTTTGTTTCATCCTTTTCCAAACAAACTGATGTAGCAAAATGATGCTTGGGTCCACATCCATCACATGTCTTGCCATAAGCTGATACACAAAAATTGTTAGTTTGGTATTGCCAGTCAATAGCTGTCGCAAAGGGTTGTTGAGGATAATGCATCACAGAAACTGAAAATCCCTGAGAAGTTTCTATACAAAATTAGCATTATCCAGCCAATGAGAGAAGTTGTGTGAAAAGTCAAGGGAGTACGAGGAAGCTTAAATTATCCAAGGGGGCATCAAAGAATTTTAAAGAAGAAGTATGGAAAACTATTGAGAAAACATGAGAAAATAGAAAGAAGCTCAAAGGAAGTTCGAACAAATAGGTATGTGAAATATTCATCATATAATAGAGGGAGTTTTTATATGGGATGAGATGATTCTCCTGGGAAGTTGTTTTCTCCACCCAATAAAGTGCAGAGGAACAAGAAAAGTTTCGAAGAAGTTTGTGGAAATCTTGAAAGTACGAGCCAGTTTAAATTATTGAAGTCCGAGGAAATATTGAGAAAGTCTACGGGAGACTGAAAAAAAAACCAAAAACCTCATCGTTTTTCTGTAGGGGAATTCTTGAGGAAGTCAACGTGTAGACAAAATGGAGCAGAGATGAAATGTGTGCAAATTCGAGGAAGTACAGTACGAGGATGTTTAACATATCCATAGGAGCATCAAAAAAGTCTTAAAAAGTTTGAAGAAGTCCGTAGAAGTATGGAGATCAATTGAAAAAAACCCGAAGAAGTCCGAAAGAGTAGGTCAAATATTCATAATACGGAGTGTATCATGTAAAATTTCTATTAAATCACTTTTGGAAGCTTCTGAAAAATACTTCAAGCGATCAGAGGGACTTTAAACTTTCAGGATTCATTAAGTAGGGTCCTTTTATCAAATAGAACAAACCACGAATAAATCTCAGGCTCAGAAATGGAATTATGAATTTTTTCTCACTTAGATGCAAAAAAATCTTAGAAAATTTCTATTAAATCACCTTTGGAAGCTTCTGAAAAATACTTCAAGCGATCAGCGGAACTTCAAACTTTCAGGATTTATTGAGTAGGATCTTTTTATCAAAGACAACAAACCGCTAGTGGATCTCAAGCTCAGAAATGGAATTATGAATTTTTTCTCACTTATATGCAATAAAGACTTCAAACTTTCAGGAAGTAGAATCTGAAGAATTGAAGATACAGAAAAAGATTTTATAGCTTGCAGAATTGCTTCATGAGAATGTTCTATAGGAATTTTCTAAATAAATGGTCAACAAATGGAGGAAGCTGTTTAAGAACAAGTTGATTCAGTCAGACAAAACTAAACCTGTTCCAAACCAGAATTTCCTCCAAACAAAGAAGTGGTTGATGTAAAATGGATGTTCAAGTTGAAGTATGATGAAGGTAGGAATTTGTAAGTGATGATGTCAGATTTAATGAGAATTTTCTCAAAAATTGGCCAGCCAAAATTAAACAGAAAAAGTTGCAGATACAGATAAAGAATCAATAAAGAGTATAACATCTGAAATCGTGATGAGCTACTAAACTCCGTCAAGGAATCTACATAGCAGATTATAATTAGTAATCTCTTGTTGTTATAGATAATAAAACTATTTTTCAATCACATATCACATTTACTTAATAAAAATATACATTAATATCAACAAAACAAACAATTTAAAAATCTAATACTTGTAGCCACTACCTCCTTGCCTCTGTCCTGAACTTGGAGGAATGTACTGATTGCTCTGAGCTCCTTGGTACTGGTTCTTTTGTTGTTGATATCCACCTGAAACAATTTTACATTTATGTTCCTCAAAACCAACAACTATTTAAAAATTACCTTGTTGTTGATGTTCACCATCATACTCAGCCCTGTACTGTCCATCATCAACAATACCTCTAGCTTCATCAGCCAAATTCTGTTCGAGAGCTTTCTGGATTTCCTCCGGCACTGGGGGTGCGGTAGGAATGTGAGAACCTTGCGGGATAAAACCGTTTTCGCCCGCTTGGTAGCTGATCTGGATTTGTTCACCTTCAGGGGAGGTGTACGAGTAGGAACCTTGGGATTGAGTACCCGCGCCTTCGTAGGCGTTGCCTTGTTGCTGAGCTTGGATACCGTTACCGGTTTCGAAAGCGTACTGGTAGTTACCGTCACCTTCGTTTTGTTGGTCCAGTTTCAAGATTGGGATGTCTGCGTTTGGGGATCTTTGGTAGTTGGACGCACCACCACCTTTGATAGAGAACATGTTTATTTATTCTACTACATCCTTAGAAAATGATGTTTTCAATGATTGAATGACATAGCAGTTCCTTTCTCTACCAGAACATGTCTATAGTTACCTTGGTATTGATTGGGCGCACCTCCTTGATCTCCTTGTTGGTACCCTCCTTGGGCACCTTGTTGGTACCCTGCTTGGGCATTTGAAGGGACGTATTGGCGGTCTAATCTTCCACAAGAAGCTAGGCCGATAAGGGCGGCTACAAGTATGTACTAGAACAAAAATGTACGTAAAAAACTCAGTTCAAGTAAGAGGAAAAATAACTTCAATAAAATTATTTATTACCTAACAGTCATCAAAGAATAATGATTTTAGCTGCAAATTATAACAATAATAATTATTGTTACCTAATAATAATTGAGAAAACCATTAGGTTACATATTGCATCTTAGTGCAGCTTTCCCATTCATAATTAACGTCTTGTTTATTAATTAGTAAAAATTATACCATAATAGATGGGATTTTCGAGAGCAGATGTCTTAGTTTGACTGAAATTTTTTCACAATTTTTAGATTCTTGGACAAAAATACAAACAAACAATGGTCTAAATTATTGGAAGATTCTAGAATACCTAGCGTTTTACCTTAGTGTCCCAACTTCATTGAGGATCAAATTTAACTTGGATCAAACTCATTTACTTTTCTAGTAAATACATGGATTTATATATTATTGTTTCAACTCTTGTCATTATTATTTTTTTTATATTTTTACCTTTTTTTCCTCATGAGATCTGGTTATGTAAAAATCCTAAATAAGAAGGCCCATTGGCTCCTAAACATTATACTCTGAGCAGCTAAAGGGTGACCCAATAACAAAATTAATGGAAAAAGCTAATCTAAAAAAATTGTAGTTAAAATATGGAAATAAAGCGATATTGGAATCAAACACAAATGTTAATTCATCAGGCAATGAAATCTGAAACTTATTAATAACTAAAGGAACCAGAAGAAAATAAAAGAAGATAAAACATTAGAAAATAGGAAGAAATACGACAAACAAAAAAAGTTGTATCTTGATGAATAGAAAAACTATAAAAATTCAACGTTGGAAACTTCAATAATTTGGCTAAAAATAGTACCGCACCCTCCAAAACAAAAAAAAAAAAACCTAAAAAAAATTCTTACTTGTTTCATCTCGATCCCAATGGTTCCAATCACAAACACTTCGCAATGATACCAATTTTGGCAATCCATTTTTTTATATATAGTACCACTAAAATAAACCGCCCCCTCCGCACGATATTTAGCACCATTACATCACCGGTACCGCCGGTCCAATCTTTCTTACCCCAGATTAATATGGGCGCGAGAGAGACGGCCTAATGACCCGGCCCTGGTGCTAGACTGCAAGAAATGCCCCACGGCTGAGATGGTACTCGATCCAATTTCGGATAGTACCATTTCGATATTATATCTGCGTAAAAATTGTACGAGGACCGAGCCAAAAGTTTCATTAACTAAGAGACCTTCTAAAGGAACTGCAGTGTATTCGAAAATTCTCAACAGAGTTATATAATTTTATCTCTGTTTCTTCTCAAGAAACTAGTACCTACTGAACCAAGAAGGCTCAAATTACTCTCAAAATACAAAAGGGCTGATCATATTCAAAAAATGTAGAATATGGCTAATCAAAGAAGGCTTAGGTATACTTTTACTTTTGAGGAATTATTGAATTCTTATTAATTAATCCTGGTTTCTTGATTGTTGATCGAGCCCCATATATTCACTCGGATTCTATGAGAAAGTAAATTGAGAACAAGCGCAATAAAATAACAAAATTTATATCGTTTTGAAGAGGTTACGTGAGAAGTCTGGGTGGGCGTCGAACGAATTTAATTGACTGAAAAATGATTATCTGATCGAAAAATCATTAGCGAGAAGGTCAGAAATAGATGCATGTTTAATAACTAAATCATTTTTTTTTTCCTTGGTGGGAAATAGTTCGTATTTGCATTTCAAACAGTAAAGAAATTTGCATTTCTTGAGTAAAAATTCAAGGCAGTTCCTGATATACCCAATTGATCACAAGTAAAATCAATGCAATTTCCTCCATGTCGATTTGTCTTTGTCAAATTAGTGCCAATCCCATCTTCATATCATCAAGGATCTTCTCGTTTCATTAATGGCATCATTTTTTATAAATTTGACTGGAAGGTTACTTGTTGCAAAATGATCCACTTGCTTTTTTTTTGTAATTAATAACAATTAATATATAGTTTACATAATTAGTTAGGAATTTTGTTTGACACTAAATAATAGGTGATCTTTTCTTTTTGGTTGATCAGAGTTGTTTTAAACGTGTCTTGTCTTAACTTAATTTACTCTGTATTCAGTTTTTGTACACCAAATTCCGGTTTGCTCTGATTTCTTTAAGTTACCAGTGAGATTGCTTAGAAGTTCTCCTCATAACATAATTTAAAATATTTTTGAAAACTGCGCATGCATTAGTCCTTTAAGATTTCCCCTGAGTTCTTCAAGATTTCCCTTGATTTCCTCTGATTTCCTTATAATTTCCCTTGGTTTTCTGAGATTTTCTCGAATTTCCTCTTGATTTTTCCTCATCTGTACACCAGATTTTCCTTGCGATTTACCCCTCTGAGTGAACCGCATCAGGTCAGTTTTTATACACCAAACTGATTTCTTTAAGATTTTCCCTGATTGCCTTAGACTTCCTCGATTTCCCCTAGTTTGTAAAGCAGATTACCCCAGGGGTAAACATTTCAGGAGGTCAGTTCTTATACATCAGATTGCGGTTTTATAGGGAAATCATGGATGATTTCCCCTGATTTCTTCTGATTACCAGTAAGATTGCCCAAGAGTTCCCTTGATAAAATAACTTCAAATTATACAAATTTTTGAAAACTGCGTATGCGTTAGGTCTTAAAAGATTGACTGATTTCCTTGAGATTTGATATGATTTCCTTAAGATTTCCCGCAGAGTTCCTTGAAATTTGCTCATGATCTCCTCTGATTTCCTTATGGTTTCCCCTCATTGCTTTAGATTTCCTCGGATTTCCGTTAATTTGTACACCAGATTTCCCTTGTGGTTTTACCCCTAAGAGTAAACTGCAGGTCAGTTTTTATACACCAAATTGCGGTTTTAGAGGAAATCATAGATAATTTCCCAAGAGTTTCCCTGATTTCTTCTGATCATCAGTGAGATTGCGCAAGAGCTTCCCTGATAACATAACTTCAAGTTGTAAGGATTTTTAAAAACTCTGCACATGCGTTTGATCTAGAGATTCACTGATTTCGTAAAGATTTCAAATGATTTATTTAGATTTCCCCTGAGTTCTTTAAGATTTTCCTTACTTTTCTCTGATTTCCTCGGGGTCAGGGCAGTTTTTATACACCAGATGGCAATTTCATAGAAGTAATCAGGGATGATTTCCCTTGATTTCACCTGATTTCTTCTGATTACCAGAAGATTGCCAAAGAGTTTCCTTGATAACATAACTTCAAAGTTCAAACTATAAAGCTTTTGAAAACTGCGCATGCATTAGATCTAGAGATTGACTGACTCTATCAAGATTTCCCGTGACTACCTTCAGGTTTTCCCTGGGTTCTTTAGGATTTCCCTTGACTTGCTCTGATTTTCTTATTATTTCTACTGATTGCCTTTGATTTCCTCATGATTTCCCCTAATCTGTACATCAGATTTTCCTTGCAGTTAACTCCGAGGGGTAAACCGCAAGTGAGTTTTCATACACCAGATTGCGGTTTTATATGGATAAGAATAGATGATTTCTCATGATTTCCTCTGATTTCTTCTGATTACCAGTGAGATTTCCCAAAAGTTTCCTTGATCAAATTATAAAAATTTTTGAAAACTGCGTATGCCTTAGATCTAGAGATTGACTAATTTCCTTAAGATTTTTTCAGGGGTTTTTTAAGCCCTTGATTTCCTTATAATTTCCCTTGCTTGCCTTAGATTTCCTTGGAGTTCCTCTCAATTTCTCCCAATTTGTACACCAGATTTCTCTTGCGATTTACCCCTCAAGATTTCTTCCGAGTTCCTTGAGATTTTCCTTAGTTTCTTCACAATTTCCTCTGATTGCCTTAGATTCCCTCAGATTTCCTCTTGATTTCCCAAATTTGTACACCAGGCTTCCTTTGCGTTTACCCTTCGGGATAAACCTTAGGTCCGTTCTCATACACCAACCAAATTGCGGTTAGAGGGAAATCATGGACAATGCCTTAAGATTTTCCCTAAGTTCCTTAAGATTAGTAGGTAGTATTCGGGGGTTTTGGACCAAAACAAAGACGAGACAAAGAGACACTCCTCCTACCACTCAAGATACAACCATCCCCCTACCGGGTCACTCAAGATACTACATACAAGTATCCCCCTACCCCAGCCCTATTTCCCCCTATCGCGCACTCAAAAAAAAAATATCCCCCCACCGCAATTTTCCTGTAATTATCCCCCTAGTTTTGATCGCAAGCATGATGAAAGCCAGCACAAAACCAGCTAAACCAGTAAAATCCAGAACAAAACCAGCATGGAATGAGTGAAAACCAGCTAAATCAGTGAAAACCAAGACAAAACCAGCTTAACCAGCATAAAACCAGCAAAATCCATAACAAAAACAGCAAAATCCAGTACAAAACCAGCAAAACTAGCACGAACCTAGTAAAAACCAGCTAAACCAGCATAAAACTAGCAAAATCCAGAACAAAACCAGCAAAATTAAGCACAAAACTAGCAAAATTAAGCACAGAACCAGCATAAAACATAGGGGAATGGTTGTGTGTAGTATCTTCAGAGAAAGGAAGATAGGGGGCGCGATAGGGGGATACAGTGTTGAGTGGAGTGTCTCTTTGTCTCGTCTCTGTTTTGGTCCAAAACCCCCGTATACTACCTATTAAGATTTTCCTTGATTTCCTCATATTTTCCCTGATTACCTTAAATTTCTTCGGATTGCCTCTTAATTTCTCCTATAATTTGTACCCAGATTACCTTTGTGGTTTACCCTTAGATTTACCCCTAATCAAAAATGAACTTTATTAAGCTCTCTGGAAGTCAGATCAGAATCACAAGTGGCTACTTATGATATCCAACATAACGTGTACATAAATAAGTATACAGTTTTTATTTTGCCCGACTGAAAAACGACTCAAAATATCTGAAAGAAATGGAATTTTTCTTTATAATCACGCTGTTATACTTGACACAGTGTCATCATGGTACTAAAAGCAGATGCACTGCATTAAAAATTTTGTAATGCCAAAAAAGGCCAGATGGCAATAAAAATAACCGTCCTTGCTTTTGCACAATTCAAGCTTCAAATAAATCAGTCAAAAAATTAAAACGTTTAACATTTATTGTATCTTCTCAATTTATTTATTATTGTGTCAATAGGAAGATCAAGATCATTTGATTTGCGTGCGACCCTGATCGACTAAAAAAAAAAAGTGAATCCTCTTTGGTATTTTTGGGTGTTTTTCCTTTTCTGGGTCAGGTGGGAATTAGTTATATAAACGGATGTCCACGAAATGTGTAGCATCACAACAACAAGTGACTTTTATTAACCACAATGACAACGGTAAGATTTTTTTTCAAATTAAATATTGATTTTCTAGTATTTTCTCCTTAGATTATTCTCTTAGCTTCAATGTTGAGCATTGCCTATTGTGCTCGTCTTGACAATCTTTATCTACCTCCAAACCAAGCAGTGCCAAGTAATAATTATTTACCTCCAGTATTAAAGACAAACAACCAATATTTGCCTCCAATTAGAAATCAAGCATATTCAGCATCAACTAATAATGCTAACAATGATGTTGCTATTTTGAAATTTGCTGCTGACAACAATGGAGAAGGAAGCTATAGGTAGGTATTTACCCAAACTCATTTTTCCAATAACAATTTATTTAACTATTTTTAGATACAACTATGAAACAGCCAACAGCATAAGTGCAGAAGAGCAAGGTGACGTCAGAGGTGATGGTACCAAAGCTCACGGTTCCTATTCATACATAGCTCCAGATGGCCAACATATTTCCATCACATACACTGCTGACGAAAACGGTTTTGTGGCTCAAGGCAGTCATATTCCAACCGCACCTCCAATTCCGGAAGCCATTTTGAAGTCGCTGCAGGAAAATGCTGCAGCTGAAGCAAGGGGAATTTTCGACGATGGTCAATATCACGAAGCTCAGTATAGTGGAGAAGAAGTTTTGCAAAAGAATGGAGGTTATAAATATTGAATGTATTATATTATTTAATAAATCTATTTAATTGTATGTTTGATTTTTATTCTTCTGAATTCCATTCTCAATTGATCTCGAGCTTGTCAGAGGTTTTCGTCCATTTCTCTTGTCCTGATGTTGTTATCAATGCAATGTCCAATTTAGAAGATAGAAAATCACTTTGTTCGTATCATCTGAGTTGGTTAATAAAGGCTGTTCTCTGTTATTTTATGTTTAAATTAAACAGAAAATTACTACTAAAAATCATGATTCACACTAGTTCATAACTTTATAGGTTTGATTCAGAACAAATTAGAATCCTTTCCGTCATTGCAGAGTCATAGAATTTTGGATGTAATTCCGATCATAATACTTTGATTCAGAGTCAAAGTTACTCATTAAGCACGAGAGTATCTTGAGAATCTCTTCTGGGTAGAAGTTATATAAAAAATAATAACATTACTGTATTATTTTGCAATTATTATTAACTTTTAATTGCTACATTATTAGTTTTGTAATAAATAATTACTGAGGTGTTTTGCAGTTTTGTTATATCATCCACATATACGCCCACAATCCAAAAATAGCAATCAATCATCTCGAATTGAATCTATCGGTAATTGAAATGTTAGCTTTTTAAGTTAAATTATGTAATTTTAGTCCAGGGTCAATACACCTAATTCAATGTTTTGGGGGTTAGTAAAGTAGGTCTAGAGGAGATTAGAATGGGAGATTTTTCACTTGCTGTCGGTGATAAAGTTTTTAAATTGAAACGAATTGGATCATTGGATGGAATGCGCAGGAGCTAAAATCTGAGCCTTAGAAGGAGTAATTTGAGAGAGAAAAGCTTCAGAAACAATATCAGAGGTTTCAGAGAAACCTAACTCTAAGTAATTGAAGCAAGAAGAGCTTCAAGAAACACTACCGGATGGTTCAATAGAGTCAATGTAAGAAGATGATCCTCAATATTCAATCAATATCAGAAGGTTTATTAAAGGAACTTACTCTTACTGTTACCATTTTTGCGGAATGTTCACCAAAAGCGTTCAATTATCTTATGTCTTATGGAACCAAAAAAAGTCTATACTGTTATATTTTGTTATTCAAATTTTAACAAATCATTTAAAAATAGTATGGTTGAAGGTAAAATTGGGTGAAATTGATTGATTTCCGTGAATGTTGTACTAGTAAAATATCAAGATTTCATTTTGGTACTGGAAAAAGGGCAAAGAAATTTCTAGAAATCGTACATTCTGAGGTTGTTGGACGGATAATGCCGTCAAGTCATGATGGGGGAAAATATTTTGTCACAACAATTACCAAAAGGGGAAAGTCCTTTTTTTTATCGGTAGACAAAAAGTCTAATCAGAACCTTAGGGTGTAGGTATTGTAGCAGCCTATGGTAGGCTTACCTGATATGAACTGCTGGGCCCTGCGCTGAGGGCTGCTATCCCGACTCTCGAGCGGCGTTGCCGGGTCAAGTACTCTATGCCACAGGTATGAAGTATAAGGATTTGGAGAAAAGGTTGGACGAGAGAGAACTGAACAATGGAAAATTAAATAGTCAGATGAAATGAAAAAGTTATAACGTCGGAAATAGTAACACACCAATATGGCGGCGATTACTAAAAACGAGGCCGATAAACAATCCTTGTATGTGTGTATTATCCTCGGTAGTTGGCAACACTGTTTGACAAACGATAAAGTAGTCTTTGAGATATTTCAAAGTTTGAATTTGGTGCCCTATAATACCGACATCATAATACATACATGTTTCCAAAGCCTACTGGTTTGATATGAACTCGTAGGGCGAGAGTTATTTCAATCACAAGCCCGTAGGGCGATAGTTTTTTTAATTAGGAGCCCGCAGGGCCTATGTCTTTATAAATCACGAGCCCGAAGGGCCGGAGTCTTTATAAACTTTTTAAATTACGAGCTCGTAGGGCCGGGGTTTTTCTAATTACGAGCCCGAAGGGCCGAAGTCATTTTAAATCACAAGTCCGAAAGGTTGGCGGCCGGGGTCTTCTTACGAGCCCGAAGGGCCGGGGTCATTTTAAAGCACGAGCCTGTAGGGCCGGGGTCTTTTTAAATCAGAATTTATAGGGCGAAGGTTTTTGTCTGGTAATACGCACGAATGTTTATAAAACTCCGGCCCTTCGGGCTCGTTAAACTCCGCCCTTTCGGGCTCGTGAATAAGATAACTCCGGCCCTTCGGGCTCGTAATTAAAATAACCCCAGCCTTCCAGTCTCGAGATTTGAAAAAAACATATGGCAACACTGCTTATGACACAACAAACGTACAAAAAAATTGACGTTTCAAAGTAGGCCTTGTTTTCCTTGACAGTCGATACAAAATGGCGATTTTTTTGTCGCGCTGTGCGCTTAAGATTGAAAACACTCTCGCCCTTCGGGCTCGTAATAAAAAAAAAACCGCCATTTCGACCTAGTAACAATGACTAATACTCTTGTTATGAGCCTTGCTTTAAAGACCAATAGTTCTCAAAAATAGATCATAGATATGTAGAGGAAGAAAAGATGTCCAAGGGTGTACAGGGATTTTCGAGGATGTCTAGGGATGTCCGAGGATGTCCAGGGATGTCTGCGGATGTCCAGGGATGTCCGAGGGTGTCTTGAGATGTTTAGGGATGTCTTAGGGTTGTTTGGGGCTGTACTTCAGTAGGGGAATCTCTGGTGTACAAATTTTGCTCAGACCATGTAGGTATCGACAATTATTGCAAATTTTGCCAAAGTCAGGAAGCAGGCAAGGTACGTAGGGGGTGACGTAGGCAGCATGTTATTTCTCGCTTTGACGTAGACTGTTTAAACTGCTGACGACTTAAGGCCGGGACACATCACATCTATCATGAATTCTTCCGATCCGACCCGGATCATACAATCAGAGTTTTTATTCTTGGAACAGGGGAGCAGCGATCCCAGGAGAACGAGTGTTTCGTCTTTCTCAATTATATGCAACTGATAATATGAGTAACGAAGACGGAACACTCGTTCTCCTGGGAACGCTGCTCTCTTGTTCCAAGAATAAGGAACCTGATTGTATGATCGGAGTCGGATCGGCAGAATGCATGATAGATATGTCCAGGCCTTTAGTTATGACGTCGGAAATGGTGACACACTAATATGTTGAAAGTTGAAATCACAATTCCTCTGAGAAGAAGAGATCGATTTGGAGTTGAATCTGATGACTAGGACAAGAATTTGTCAATCAGAACAATCAAGAAGTTCAGGTGCTGAAGAAGATGAAGATACAGCAGAAGAACCAGTAAGGAGAAGCAATCAAGAGTAAACACAAGCAAAATATTAAGAAGATTATAGCCCTTGCACTGGGACCTTAATCCAATCATGACAGTGAATAAAACTCAAAACTGAAATATATTTATGGCCTTTATTATGGCAATTACACTAAAATAAATAACTTAAGAAAGTGCCTTCTCAATATGTATATCCTCCATTAGCAGCATAACCTCCAGACTTGACTCTGGCAAAAGTTTCAACACCTTCGTTCTTGTATTGTCCCTCACTCAGTCCTTCTCCACGATACTGTCCGTCATCGAAAACTCCTCTAGCTTCAGCTGCTGCGTTTTCTTGCAGAGCTTTCAAAATAGCTTCTGGAATCGGCGGTGGAGTCGGAATATGACTACCTTGTGGCACAAAACCGTTTTCGTCAGCAGTGTATGTAATGGAAATATGTTGGCCATCTGGTGCTATGTATGAATAGGAACCGTGAGCTTTGGTACCATCACCTCTAGCGTCACCTTGTTCTTGAGCAGAAATACTGTTACCAGTTTCATAGTTGTATCTAATAACAGAAAAATTTTGAGCAATATTTTAAAGTTTAAATAATAACTTACTGGTAAGTGCCTTCGCCATCATTGTTGGAATTGAATTTTAAAATTGGCACCTGATTGTGGCTTTCAGAAGCTTGATTGGTAAGCCTTTGACTTGGTAAGTAAAGGTTGTCTAAGCTAGCACAAGAAGCAAGTCCTAGGACAGTAACCAACACAAACACCTGCAAAAATAAATCAACCAATATAAGTATTATTTTACAAACAAAAAATTACCTTCATATTTTTATATAATTTCCAAATCAAGATCACTTGTTGTTATGATTTCATATATTTTTCCAACAACATACTTATAGCTATTATTACACCCCACTTGTTCTAATATTAAAAAAGATGATATTCAGTTATTCAACTATAGGATCCACCGAAAATCAGGGTCATTACAAAGAACGATCTTGATCTTCCCATTTTTATTGTTCTCTCGGCGAAGATGACTCCGAATCATTTTGTTTTATGCAAAATAGGATCTCCGTTTGACCTGTTACTTTTTTTGCCATTGTTTTGACACATCCTTGATTAATGGTGAAATTTATATAGATAACATTTTGAGGAACCTTTCGGTAAAAATTTGCTGACCCTGATTATTCAATAGATGATTTAACAGGTGGGGCTTTTAAAGTATTTAAATCGAATTGAAGATGTTTTCAATCACAGTTGATCCATTTAACAGCAACAATGAAGAGTTTTATTTTGACTACAGCTATTTTGGGCTTTGCAAGTTGCGGCCGTCTCGACAGTCAATATCTTCCAGCGATTAATCGTGGACTTTCTACGCCAGTCAGTGGACAGTTTTCTTCAGCTGCAAGCCACAACCAAGTTCCAATTGTGAAATATATCAACGATAATAATGGAGAAGGAACCTATAGGTAGGTAATTCATAATAATATTTAGGTAATTGAATGATAACTAATTTGTAATTTCAGATACAACTATGAAACTGCTAATAGTATCTCTGCCGAAGAGCACGGAGATGCCCGAGGAGCTCAAGGTTCTTACTCCTATATTTCTCCGGAAGGTGAACACGTATCAGTTTCCTATACGGCCGATGAAAATGGTTACGTTGCTCATGGAAGTCATTTGCCAACGCCGCCACCAATTCCGGAAGCCATTTTGAAGTCGATTCAAGAAAATGCTGCCGCTGAAGCTAGAGGTATCTTCAACGAGGGGAGCTATCACGGAGAAGGACAGTACAATGGAAATGGTAATGGTTATTCTAATAATGGTGGATATAGATATTGAATTTGTTTTAAATGCTGAAATAAAGAATTTGTAAATTGATTTATTTTCTTTTTTCCATTGAGGTAAGGCACATCAAGGCCATGATTATGGTCAAACATTTTCCTTGGCCAAGAACAAGGATATAAAATTTCCTAGTAGAATAGCTCATGGTTGTCTGTTTTACTGGTTCTGTTTCTATAAGATAGGTACTTTATGAAGCTATTCTTCTTCCACTGGTTACTCAGGTGTAGATACATAATACCTACTTGTGGTTTCATTACCTTCTTCTGAAGCTTTAGGTAATGATTCTTGGTTAGTCGTTTTTCATGCAGGTTCGAAGACCCATTCTGGTTCTTTTGAAGCATCACAGGTATTGATTCTTGAAGGCTCTCCTATAAATTGGCTATTCTGAAGCTTTTGCTGATGATTTAAAGCTCTTCTTTGTCTTTGTTCTTAAAATATATAATTTACATCTTTTGATCTCATTTCTTTCATTCTTCATATCAGAGTTAGAATCTTCTTTCTTGTTAGCTTTATACATCAACTAACTAGCACCCACACAACGTATTTGTATTTTCCCGGCATTTTTAATGGAAGGTCTATTTAGCATTATCACACTTTCTTCTTTCTTTGAACATTCTGCCCTGCACTGGCTGCTAAATTTCACAAATCTCGCTTTGGTAAGAGAAATAATGATTTTCAAATCAAACATTGTAAAGGAAATCATGTCAACGTTGATACTGTTCGACTATCGATGATTGTAATACCTAATCTAATTCATCATAGCCTCAGTAACTTGAGCATAGTAGGGTTTGTTAAATTGTTATAAGGTAACAAAGTAACAATGACTAATACTCTTGTTACGAGCCTTGCTTCAAAGACCAATAGTCCTCAAAAATAGATCAGAGATATGTAAAGGAAGAAAAGATGTCCAAGGATATCCAGGGATTTTCGAGGATGTCTAGGGATGTCCGAGGATGTCCAGGGATGTTTGAGGATGTCCAGGGATGTCCGAGGGTGTCCTGAGATGTTTAAGGAGGTCTTAAAGTAGGTATTGACAATTATGGCAAATTTTGCCAAAGTCAGGAAGCAGGCAAGGTACGTAGAAGCTCTAGAGTTGTTCAAACTTTAAACTATGAAAGCCAATAATACTGAAACTAATATTGATTCTGTTGAGGTGAGAATTACAAGAAATAACAAAATTTCATCTTCATTTCCTTCGTTATTGTCCGGTTCCACAAATGTACAAAGCAACTCAACTCTTGAATCATAGTTATCAAGAAAAAAACATGTTTTCATATAAACATATGTATATTTTGCCTTCCTCCTTTAATATACAATCAGTATTTACAAATATATTCATATCTATATTATATACAAAAGAACACAGCTTAGGTGCATCCAAGATAATACTCTCGACATAGATGTGTTCATAGTTTTGTACAGCGTTTACCTTATAAAATTATAACATCCAATTCCCAATGTATTTTTATTTATCAAGCTGGCAGAATTTTATAGTGAGAGAACTACGATAGAAAGAAATATTGAAATTTTCAAATTGTATAACTTATGTAAGCAAGGATAACCAAAGTGGTTTATATGTATTCATCAGATCAAAATGAATCAAAATTCCATCGAGAAAACTGCTTTTGTAGTAAACAATGGTCATTTCGAGTACTTCTGTATGCCTTTTGGGCTCAAGGACGCACCTGCCACATTCCAGTTATACTCATTTTTGAACCTCAAGAAATTAACTCATTAATGAGTCGTTCTGATATGAAAATGAGGAGCTTCTGAACTACCGAGTTTGAAATTCTACTGGAATCCCACATGCTTGTACGTTATAATTACCCCTCAACTGATACTGTTGAGGTGAGAACTACAAGAAATAATAAAATTTTATCTTCATTATCTTCCTCATTTTTCACAATTGTACAGATCAACTTACCCCTTGAACGATGGTTATCAACAAAAAAGCATGTTTACATAGAAAAATATGTATATTTATCCTTCTTCCTTTAATATACAATCATTATCTGCAAATATATTCATATTTATATTATATACAAAACAACACAGCTTAGGTGCATCCAAGATAATACTATCGGCATAGATGTGTACAGTTTTGTACAGCGTTTATCTTATAAAATTATGGCATCCAAATCCCAATTTATTTTCATTTATTAAGCTGGCAAAATAATATTGACAAAATTTGATTTTGAGGTACCAAATTCTGTCAACTTTTCACATAAATTCACAGTAGAAATCTGTATATAAATCTAATATCTATATCCACCACCAGCAGCCGATTGGCCGGATCCCACACCGCCTACACCACCTTGTGGCCTGTAACCGCCTGCACCTCCAGAAGGCCTAAAAGCAGACGCTCCAGTTCCGGAAGGTCTGAACGCGCCCGGAGCACCGTATTGAGGTGAAGGAGCGGCTCCGCCACTTCCGGAAGGTCTGAAGCCACCTGGGGCACCGTACTGAGGTGACGGACCTCCACTATAACCACCTCCTAGAATCAATCAATAATTATTACGAAATGGGTTTTTGTAAAATTTGGTACCTCCACTGTAACCACCCGCTCCACCTTCGTCTGCGCCTGGTCTGTAACTGCCATCGTCGACAATACCTGAAATTTTGTTTTTATTACAATCAAAGATTGGAAAACTAAACACAAATTACCTCTAGCTTCGTCGGCCAAATTTTGTTCAATCGATCTTTGGATTTCTTCTGGGATCGGTGGCGGGGTTGGCAAATGAGCTCCTTGCGGATTGAATCCGTTTTCGTCGGCGGTGTATTGGATTTGGATTTGTTGGCCGTCTGGTGCGGTGTAGGAGAACGAGCCTAGGAATTTGGAATTGTAATTTTTAACTCATCATTGATTGGTTGTGTTAGGAATTTACCTTGAGCTTGGGTGCCATCTCCTCTGGCGTCTCCTTGTTCCTGGGCATTGATTCCGTTTCCGGTTTCGTACAGGTACTGATAAGTGCCGTCGCCGTTATTAACGTTTTCGTAGCGGATTATGGGAATTTCGGAACCTGCTCCTGGTCTTCCTCCACCTAGAATGGGACAATGTAAGTTAACAAAATACTTATCATAATATTATGGATAAGAGAAGAGCAAATAAATAAATAAATCGAATTATTTATATCCAAGCAATATTGAGTGAATACATATTGAAATTTTTAAATTGTGTAACTTATGTAAGCAAGTGGTTTATATGTATACTCATCGGATCGAAATGGACCAAAATTCTTTCACAGTAAACAATGATCATTTTGAGTACCTATACCTTACGAATGCCTTTTGGGCTTAGAAACGCACCTGCCAAATTCCAGAGATATAAATTACTTAATAGTTCTAGAAGCAGAAGTTTGTAAATAGGTATGTATATTTAATAATTTTATTCTGTAGGTAATTTTTTGATCGGTTTTAATACTGAGTCATTTGCAGATCCTCACCAGTGTTGCCAGGTCATATTTTGTTTTGTCAGTAGATTACCAGTCTAAATATCAGTAGAAATCACTAGACAGATAAGGTGCCTTGTTAAAGGGGTGAACCATTAATCAATTAATTATTTTAGTTAAGTTTTTTCAAATCATTAAATCATTAGACTGTGTATTAGACTATGAAAACTTGCATTAGAAAATCAAACACCAATACTACTTATGAGAAATAGTTTATTAATGTTAAAACACATGAAATATTCCTATTAAATATGTACTACCTATGGGATGCCCTATATTTGGTTCTATATTCTTGAAGAGTACAATTTCCCGATTTCAAAACTATATAGTTTGTCTATATTTGGTTGAGCCGACTCCAACATATTTGGTTCAAACTTTAAAAATACTATCATAGACAAACCAAGTACCTACCTCAAATTTTACCTACAGCTTTCACCTGTACAGGTAGAATGGTTCACCAAATCAGTAGTACGATTTTTACAATTTTTGGAGCCGAATATTTGAGAGACTGTTCAATCAAATATAGACAAACTATATATTTTTGGAATCGGGGCATTGTGCTCTTCAAGAATATAGAATAAAATATGGGGCATCCCATTTGAAAAAAGCTGGAAGCATGCAAAATTTCACATTTCTGACATTCAAATTTTGTTTCTGACCATGGTTTCTGAAAATTCAGCCAAAACTGTACAACTTTTGTATTTACACCTTTTTTCTACCTGTAAAGGTAAAGGAGGTAGGTGGAGTGTCAATATATAAAAAAAAACGCCCTGTACAAATAAGTGGATTATTACGGAACTTATGGGTGAACCTCTGCGGGACGAGCGTAGCGAGTTCCGCAGCCATCTACTCACCAATATACTGTTGAACTGTTAAAAAAAAACACTCACCTGAAACGTGTAGTTTTTGAACTAATGAGAAAAATTCATAACTGAGTGAATCAGGTTAATATTGTACTTGAACAACATATTGATGAATAGAGGGCTGCGGAACTCGCTGCGCTCGTCCCGCAGAGGTCCACTCATAAGTTCCGCAATAATTCACTCATTTGTACTTGAATAACTTGTCACATTATGTTATTAGTTTGGTAAAGGAACATTACTTATTCCTGTTGAAAGACAAATTGACAAAAAATGAATAATCATAATCTTACAAATTTTGACTTTATATAATAAGTTATTGTTCAAGTACAAATAAGTGGATTATTGCGGAACTTATGGGTGGACCTCTGCGGGACGAGCGCAGCGAGTTCCGCAGTCATCTACTCACCAATATACTGTTGAACTATTCAAATAAAACATGCACCTGAAACTTGTAGGTTTTGAACCAATGGGAACAACTGACATTTGAGTGAGTGAGGTTAGTATTGTACTTGAACAATGTATCAATTAAGAGATGACTGCGGAACTCGCTGCGCTCGTCCCGCAGAGGTCCACCCATAAATTCCGCAACAATCCAGTCATTTGTACTTAAATAACTTGTCACATTATGTTATTAGTTTGGTAAAGTAACATTACTAATTCCTGTTGAAATGCAAATTGACAAAAAGTGGATAATCTTACAAATTTTGACTTTATATAAGTTATTGTTCAAGTACAGGATGTTTTTTTATGTATTGACACCCCACCTACAGCCTTCACCTTTACAAGTAGATGAAAGGTGTAAATACAAAAGTTGTGTTGGCTAAATTTTTAGAATCCATGGTCCATTTTCATTCTGGTTAAAGCGAGAACGCTGGTTCCCGCCTCTACATGTCTCTACCTGCTTTCAACTGTGTACTAGCCGATTTAAAAACAAGCATTTAATTTTTCGCGCTTATAAGCACGAGTCGGCGCTGGTTACCGGTAAGCGGAAGTCTGCTTGCACTGTCTTCGTACACTTGCCTTGCGTTCGGTATTTTGCTCGAAGAGCAGAGCGTGCTGAGCGGAGCCGTAATCACGTGACCAGCGAGGGAACAGAGCAGTTGAACGCAATATAAAAGTGCCAGAAATTTTAATAAACGAACGCGAATGAGGCTGCACCGAGTACACTTTTTGAATAAACGAACGGTAAAGTCATGCTCGGAGAACTCAGACCAAAATAACGAACGCACGGTTAGAAGTCCTAGCCCATAGGTCGCGTATGAAATTATTGCTGTGACATTCTCATACAAGATTTTAATTTAAAAAATATCATAAAAAGCAAGTAAATAATGACAACGGCTTTTATCAGTAGAATTTACATTGATATACTGATATCAGTATCCCAATGGCCAAATCAGTATAGATCTACTGATAAATCAGTAGACCTGGCAACACTGTTCCCCACATCGAAATCAGATATTGAATTTTTGAGTGGAATAATCCATAGTAAATGTTTTTCAAATATTTTAAAGAAAGTAGTGTTAACTTTATATCAAGATGTTTTGAATATGTATTACACGTTTCTTCATAAGAATTAAAGATTACCTCCACTATATCCTCCAGCTCCACCACCAAAACCTTGTCTTGCAGCTCCACCGCTATAACCTTGACCACCAGCTCCACCGCTATAACCAGGTGCGCCACCCCCAAAACCTGGAGCGCCTCCGCCAAAACCTGGTCTGGCGGCTCCACCGCCAAATCCGGCTCCACCACCGAATCCGGCTCCACCGCCGAATCCGGGTCTAGCGGCTCCGCCTCCAGCTCCGTAACCTCCAGCGCCAGGTCTGATGCCGCCTGCCGGCCGTTGAGAGGGCGGCAGGTATTGGAGGTTGTCGAGGCTTGCGCACGTGCACAAGCCGAAAAGGGCCAGAGGTAATATTATCTGGAATACAAAAATTATTTTATTTTGTGCAAATTGTCTTAACCCTAACAACTATATAGTAATGGGACAGGTTAGGCTTTCGACAAGCTGCACGGATTATTAGGCATATTAAATAAATATCACTAAAACTTGGTTATTCACTTGTATATCCAGATCACCGAAGAAAAATCCACAAAGCACTACCTATGCAAAATAATTATTAAAAAAAATATGCCCCTTACTTGTTTCATTTTTCCCTCAAGTGTGCACTTTAAAGATGCACCCAACCACCACATGAGACTATGATGCATCATCCCGTAATTGTCTTATATAATGTTAAATTGTCCGCCCCCACTTTGGCTATACGAAAGAAGATTCACCATCTTAGCCTAAAAGCACTTATTTGCAATCATCATATATTCGCCTGCGGGCGCTCTAACTATGGGTTGCACTAATTATTTTTCTGATGCTCATCTTCAATATTATCATCTTCTTTTGCGCCTCTCGTGACCCGACTTGTCCTCCAAAAACATTTAAGTGGTGTGCTTAGAATCGCGATGGATTCTTGACACGTTTTATCATATAACAATTTAGTATGACTTCATTTTTGTAGCTCATTAGTTGTTGATCAAATTTTAAATAATTCAAATTGATGCAAAAAAAAATTATGTGGGTGGTGTCATACTGCAGTGAGAACTTTATTATTATTACAACCATTTTTAGGCTGTGGAAACTTGAGACAATAAAATGCTTGATGCATGCAATTGAAATTTTGTAAGAATTCATAAATTCTTATTAAAAAAATAACATATACATTCATTTAATTAAAATTAACATTTTGAGCTGTCGGTGTGAAATCAATTCACCTTTTTACTGGCCCATTAATCATGAAATCATTTTAAAATATGGGTAAAGTTAGAAAAAAAAATTTAAGCTCATCGCATAAGCAATTTTAAAGAAACATTTTGCGAAATCGTATCGGGTACATAAAAGATTATTGGGTACTTTCAAATTTGCAAGATCATGCTATATGGCACCATTTTTGATGTATGGAGTTTTTGATATTTTATGATGCAATAATGAATATTTTTTGGTTCATTCTTAAAGAATGACAACCAATTCAACAGACATATTTTTGAGAATGAGAAATCACGCAATAAATTCACCAGAAATTCTTGAGAATAATGAGAAAACATTCAACTGAAATATTTGAGATTCAGAAAACAAACAACAAATCTACCAAAGATTCTTGAGAATGAGAAATATCCAACAGAAATCTTCAAAAATGAAAAACAGCTCAGCAGATATTTTTGTAAATTTAAAACAAACTAGCCAGATTCAATAGAGATTGTTATTCTTTGGAAATGGGAAACTACGACAAATTCAGCAGAGATTCTTCAGAATGAAAAAAATGGAAACTAATAACAGATTCTCAAGAATACCAACAAACTCAACAGACATCTTTGAGAATGAGAAACCATACCAATAAATTCACCAGAGATTCTTGAGAATGAGAAAACATTCAACAGAAATATTTGAGAATCAGAAACTAAATAACAAATCCATCAGAGAGATTCTTGAGACTGAGAAACAACTTGAAAGTTTTCAAAAAGTTCGGATCATTAGTTGGAAGTTAATCCAAAAACTTGAAAAATTCACAATTCACACTTTTAAACAGCTGTCAAAGTTGAAATTGATAATCTGTCAAAGAACCTCCACCTTTTAAACTCGTTATTGAAAAAACTCCGGCCCTTCGGGCTCGCAATACTTACAACGAAAAGACGCCATTTTATATTGACTGTCAAAAATAATTACGAGGCCTACTTACTTCAAAAATTTTTTGACGTTTGTTGTGTCATAAGCAGTGTTGCCATATGTTTATTTCAAATCTTCAGCCTGGCTGGGATTATTTTAATTACGAGCCCGGAGGGCTGAGTTTATACGAGTCCGAAGGGCCGGAGTTATGCGAGCCCGAAGGGCCGAAGTTATGCGAGCCCGAAGGGCCGGAGTTATACGAGCCCGAAGGGCCGAGGATATTTTAATCACGAGTCTTCTTGCCCTCCGAGCTCGTAGTCTCCAAAACGAAAAGACGCCATTTTGTATCGACTGTCAAAAATAATTACAAGGCCTACTTCGAAATATCTTTTTTTTTTGACGTTTGATGTGTCATAAGCAGTGTTGCCATATGTTTTTTTTTTCAAATATTTAGCCTGGTTGGGATTATTTTAATTACGAGCCCGAAAGGCCGGGAGTTATACGAGCCCAAAAGTCTCGATCATTGAATTCTATATTAATTTGTATCCTAGTTTGTTATACCCCAAGCTCTTGACACAAATAGCTAAAATTTTTATTCCCATTTTATCTCTGTCTCTTTTTTGTTCATTGAATTTTGCATACCATTTCTCTCTTTTTCAGGCACTTGATTGGCCAGATACAAGACCACTCAAACGCCGAGAATAATTATTATTTTTTTAAATCCCATTATATGTTTGTCTCTTTCTCAATCATTGAATACTTTGTTATACCTCAAGCTCTTGACACAAATAGCTAAAAAATCTTCAGCCTGGCTAAGATTATTTTAATTACGAGTCCGGAGAGCCGAGTTTATACGAGCCCGAAGGGCCGAGGATATTTTAATCACGAGTCTTCTTGCCCTCCGAGCTCGTACTCTCCAAAACGAAAAGACGCCATTTTGTATCGACTGTCAAAAATAATTACAAGGCCTACTTCGAAATATCAATTTTTTTTGACGTTTGATGTGTCATAAGCAGTGTTACCATATGTTTTTTTTTTCAAATATTTAGCCTGGTTGGGATTATTTTAATTACGAGCCCGAAGGGCCGAAGTTATACGAGCCCGAAAGTCTCGATCATTGAATTCTATATTAATTTGTATCCTACTTTGTTATACCCCAAGCTCTTGACACACATAGCTAAAATTTTTATTCCCATTTTATCTCTCTGTCTCTTTTTTGTTCATTGACTTTTGCATACCATTTCTCTCTTTTTCAGGCACTTGATTGGCCAGATACAAGACCACTCAAACGCCGAGAATAATTATTATTTTTTTTATCCTACTTTATGTTTATCTTTTTCTTAATCATTGAATTCTTCATTAGTTTGTATTGTATAAACCAATCAAATACACTTTACTCCCCAAATTCTGCTAATTTGACTACACTATCCATGTATTTGTTCAAAAAGTTTCAATTTACATACAGAACTTAATTACAAACCAAACAAAAAGAAATTTCAAGATGTCTAATTTTATTCATCAAAAATACACGTTATTAAAATCAAATTATTGCAATTATAATATTTCATTGATGCCTTTTGGCTATTTATCAGGAAAACTGATAAATGATGTAGCTGCCTGATGCATCATCATCAATAATAATAATTATTATTCGATTCCCTTAAACCATTCATCGTCTTTGTAATGTTTTGTATGATAAGACAAAAGACAAAATTGTGTAATACTTAGGTATATAATATGCGCAATAAGATTAGTATTTTTGGAATTTCCTGACTCAATATAATTAGGCATCATGAATCTTTTTTTTATTTGATTTTTGAAAACTTGCAAATAAAAACTAATTGCATTCAAGGAACAATAAAAAATCTTATGTCGTAGGTAGGTATTTACTCAATAACATTTAAATCCTTTTTGTTAAGAACCATAAATAGATAATGATCATTGAATATTCAGGCAATAATCGTCACTGTCAGCTTTGAAATTCCACGATTCTCACTCAAAATTTGCCATCTCATGTTTTCGGTATTGCAACAACAATAAATATAATTAGCAAGGTTGCATTTCACGCACCACGCACTCCATATTCTTCATCTACATCCAATTAAGAGTTCGGCGAAGATTCCACCACGTTGCACAAATCACGTGGAATGCTCGGCGCCCGAGGCGAAATTATGGCATATGCCAATTTCGATGCAATAATTTCACGTTATTAAAACGATTAGCATAAACGGTGCTAAATGAATGCACCGTATTGGGAATTTTAAGGCACGAACTTTAAGTAGGTATGTGCGTTTTTGACATTCTGCTTAGAAACGAATGCGGAGTTTGAGAATCGCTGCTTGATAATGATTGTGGTTTTTATCAGTTTTGTTTTCAAATCCTATGGCGTATTAGTAACTTGTAGATTTTCGCCTTCTTCCAAGGGAGTAATGGGGTGGTATGTGGAAATCCGAGAAAGTTCAAATTATGTAGTTCTGAGGAAGTATTAAAGAAATCCAACGACTTCTGAAGAAGTCTCATCATAGACTATGATGAACTCATTAGAAAATCCAAATTCAAAAGAATACCAAGGAAGAAAGTGAGGGAAATGTTCATTGAGAAATAGATGAAGATCCCCTAGGAGCTGTGAGACCTTGTCATTGGTGAGGGGGCTCATGGTAGACCCAATCGATTGGAGATTGCACCGTTGCACACAGAGCCTGTGGGAAACCGGCCGAAATCCCAGAGTATTTAGCCTTACTTATGTGTAGGGGCTCCGTAGGAGCGGGCACACCCTTCCCCACCACTCGTGGGAACAAAATGAAAGGGAGGAATCAGGTACTGACTAAGACCCTTCTAGAACAACTATTAGAGAAGTTCCAGTATCAGACTCTGGATAGCCCAATGCACGGTGAACCGACCAAATACTGTTCCAACAGAGGATAAAACCAAAAATGCTATGACATTGTTGCTATGAAAAATCCGCCATTTTGCTATTAGTATTCACTAGGCAAATGTCAATGGAGAGTGTCAAAATGGCGTTTTACTTGATTTGATTGGTTGATAAGTTCCAAATTTTCATATTCCATTGGTCAGAATCAATTTTTGATTATTTCCGGCTTTTGATTCAGTTCCATGTGCCGGGAATAATAACTCAATGAAATACTTTTTCTCCTTAAAACGCCATTTAACCGTATATGTAACAACCTTTTGAAAATGTTGCTATGATAAATCCGCCATTTTGCTATTAGTATTCACTAGGCAAATGTCAATGGAGAGTGTCAAAATGGCGTTTTACTTGATTTGATCGATTGATAAGTTCCAAATTTTCATATTCCATTGGTCAGAATCAATTTTTGATTATTCTCGGGTTTTGACTCAGTTCCAAGAGCCGGGAATAATAACTCAATTAAATACTTTTTCTTCTTGAAACGCCATCTAACTGCATATGTAACAACCTTTTGAAAATGTTGCTATGATAAATCCGCCATTTTGCTATTAGTATTCACTAGGCAAATGTCAATGGAGAGTGTCAAAATGGCGTTTTACTTGATTTGATTGGTTGATAAGTTCCAAGTTTTTATATTCCATTGGTCAGAATCAATTTT